AAGGCCAAGGAAGAGGCTGAGCGAATTGAAAAGCTTGGCTACGACCCCGAGGCTGAGCAGGCTGAAGCCGAGGCCAAGAAGGTCTCAACTGCCGCCGCTGTCCCGATTGCTTCTCCTATCCCAGCCAGCACCGCTGGCAAGTCTAATGACCGAAACTCGGGTGACGTAGAACGACTGGGCATGGGTATGAGCCGACTTGGCTTTGGCCAGGTGTCGAAGCCCGCAGCCCCCAAGAAGCCCGCCTTTGGTTCTGTTGGCCCTGCCAAGCCCAACCCTGCTGATGGTAAATCTCCCTCGCTGATCGTACAACTTGTGAAAAACAAACTGACATTCGACACAGAGGCGGAACTCACGCAGACTAGAACCCGATTCGGCGCTCAGAAGGGTATCTCGTCCGATGAATTCTTCGGACGGGATCGATTTGATCCCGTCGCCCAGTCCGAGGCCAAGGAACGTCTCCGCCAATTTGATAGCGCTACATCCATTTCCAGCAACACCTACTTCGGCCGGCCCGAGGATGAAGTCAATTCACGTGACGATGGTTATGGTGACATGGAGGCTGCTGCCAAAGATTTCATCCGCCGCTTTGGTATCACGGCTGGAGATGATCTTGAGAACCTGTCGCATCTTGTCGGTGAAGGTGCATCTAAGCTACAAGGTGAGCAAGTCTTTATCTAAGCATGTAACCACTTTTTGCTAACTGAGTGTCACCAGGTGCTATCCGCAACTATCTGAACAACTAGGCTAGTCGCCCCTTTTCATCAGATTTTACGCCTTCTACTACTTCAAGCACCGTAACAAGCAACACTGTTCCTTGACTACCCCCAGTCCCGTCTTCTTCGTGTGCTACGTATACTGTGTCTCCCCTGCCCATCTTGTCCCCTTGACAACAGTTCTTTACCTGGAACAACATTGCGATCAGCAGTCAGCCAAAACTTGGGTTTCATATCACTTTGGTTTGCATCAGTTTTGTTGCAATCTGGCGTGTGATTGACGGTTTCTTATTTTTTTTTTCTTTCCTTCGCACTCCTACACTGCAACACAGGATGATCGAAAGCACTTTTTATTTTATTTTGCTCAATTCGTTGATGTGGTTTAAGATAATCGAGAAATTCATGATTTGATATTATTGACAGACAAGTAATTTTGATGAAAGCACAACTCCAAAGCACAACTCCAATCTCTCGCACCGCTCAAACAAAACTCCATGATGAATGAAGAGAACACGGTTGTACAATATAGTACAAGTCACACCCAAGTGTTGAATACGAAAAAGGTCCCATATATAAAGCAGTCGTGCAAGGCTAAAAGATAAGTGACGCAGCAAGTACGATCTCAAACACGATAAATCGCATCCGCAACCTTGGTCACCTGCCACATCTCTTGGACATCATGAACACGAACAATATCCGCCCCACCAGCCACACTAGCAGAGACAGTAGCAGCCGTACCCCAAACGCGCTCCCGCGGCGTCTTCACCCCAGTAATATGACCAATGAACCTCTTCCGACTGGGACCCATCAACCAAGGGAAGCATTCAAGCCCCGGCATCGCACGCAGCCTCGGCAACTCCCGCAAAATCTCTAGATCATGCGTCTGGATCTTCGCAAAGCCAAGACCCGGATCGAGGATAATGCGCCAGCGCCGGATCCCAGCATCTTCAGCAGCCGCAATGCGCGCGCCCAGCTCAGCAGCCACTTCAGGGATAACGCCGGACGGGTACTCGTGCAGGGACGTCATCGTCTGCGGCGTGCCGCGCATGTGCATTAGGATCACGGACTTGCCGATCCGCGCTACTGTCGGCAGCATTTCCGGGTCAAGGAGGCCGGCTGAGACGTCGTTGACTATGTCTGCGCCGGCGGCGCAGGCGGCTTCGGCTACGCTGGCGCGGTAGGTGTCGATGCTGATGGCGATGTTGGCGGCTTCGGGGATGGAGGTTCGGATGTGCTTGATTGCTGGTACTACGCGGGCGATCTCTTCGGCGGCACCGACTGGTGTTGAGCCGGGGCGGGTACTCTCACCGCCGACGTCGATGATTGTTGCGCCAGAGGCGATGAAATTGCGTACTGTCTCTGCTATGTAGTTTAGGTCTGTTGGGGCGTGCATGCCGCCGTCGGAGAAGGAGTCTGGCGTTAGGTTGAGGATTGCCATGACGTGAGTGCTGCGCTTTGGGTCTGTTGCGTGCAAGGATGGGAACAGTGGTGAGATTGGCGTTGTTGAAATTGGTGTTGGTTCTGGTGGCGGGAGAGCCTTCAGATGTGTGCTGTATGTTTGCTTGTTCTTCCCTGGTAGTGGGGGGTATTCACTTGGGATTAATCTAAATTCAGATGGTTAGTATGTCTTTTTTCGTGTGTCGGTACGGCATGCATCAAGCCGTTGGGGGCGTACTGGCTGAGAGGTCGCAATACAAAGTCTCGCTCAAGCATCAGATTGTGTGGGATGTTGAGACGCTCGTGGGAGAAGATCTTCTGATCATATAGTAGGATATCCAAGTCAATAGAGCGGGGGCCTTTATCGATGAGCTTCTTTCTGCCCATATCAATCTCAATGGATTGAAGAGCATCCAAAAGATCCAGAGGCTCAAGGGTTGTTTCCACCTGAAAGAAATTAACACTTGGCTACCCAATTTGGATAACCTCGCTAACATACCTCGCATACACCATTAATGAAGGGATCTTGATCCAGCACATACATCGGTGCGGTCTCGAACAATGAACTTGTCCTTTTCACTTTGATACCAGCTCGGTCCATTTCAAAACAAGCCTGCTCAATCATTTCTACTCGGTCTCCAACATTGCTTCCCAGGGCAATGAAAACCCGGTGGGTGTCTGGACTAGGGAACTTCAGATTCATCTTGGAGTTAACTGCTTGCGCAGAGGAGAAATCCCTCACAGGCGGGGTCAAATACAACGAGCTTATTGAACGTCGTGATAGACCATTTCTGGCAAGAATTCCTGATGTCAATTGGGCTGTATCTTTCAGTTGAGATTGATTAAGCAACCCTATTGGAAATTAGTGTTTGATTCAAGAGCAGACATGCAAATCCGAAAAAAAAAAAAAACTAGCGGGACAGGCATATTTCCCCATTTGGATGATACGCCGATAAGAGCGTGAGGGCCCCGAGGGTTTCTAAGAAATAGCTATGCACGTACCCAGGCTCTGTGGCGAGAATGTCCTGTAACTATAAGATGTCGTCAGACTCGCCACAGTCAATTGACCATTTGGGGGCTTTACCTTGTATGTAACAGTCGATAATCAGCTCTCCTTGTCTGAGCTGCAACCAGCGGCGAAAGTCTCAGTGACCTCCCAATTTGCCCAGGATGAGAAACAAACGATGCCGAGGGAGGGGCTCTCTGGATTGCCCTGGCACTCATGCTGATTTGAGAAGAAACGTAAGAATACAAATAACAATTAGAGTAGCTTCGAGTCAGTTCTGGTATTCCGTAAGCTTCACGTGGTTTGCCTAACGTATTTCACAAGCGAGCCGGCCACCCCAACCAAAACGCGTCCATGAATTAGATCTTATTTAGTTCAACCACCCACTATGCCACCAATTCGTACTCAATCCTCTCAAAATGCAATAGAACAAGAGGGTAGGATCTTACTGGCTATCCAGGCTTTTAAGAATCAAGAAATCTCTTCAATTCGTGAGCTAGCGCGTATTTTTAGCGTACCACGTTCGCCTCTAAGACCGCCTCCGTGGCCACCAACATCGCGCGAATTCTCGCGCCAACTCCCATAAATCAACCTAGTTTGAAGAGGAAAGCCTTTAAAAATAGATAATCTCTATAGATTCTAGTGGAGTAGCCCCCCGACCCTCTATGGTACGAGAAATAGCGAATCTTCTCCTTGAAAAGCGTGGAAACACCCCGGCTCTTTTAGTCGGCTAACTTGGGTTACGAACTATATAAAACGATACCCTCTCCTTTCCTCCCAGTTCTCGAAACGATATAATTACGAGTGTGCGAAATACGAAGACCTGAAGATTATTTAGGGGTGGTTTAATCTTGTCACGGTGCGAACCGTGATGCTTAGTAAGAGGAAGATCACGGCACGTGATATCTGACCTGTTTATCTGAACTTCAGTTCTAGATCCTGTTGTAGCTCTGGAAGCTACGTCTTGTATAATAGCCTGCCCCTGTCTGTACCTGTCAAGTGGAATCTGATCTGTTATGACCTGTTCCTACCAGTCATCTCCTATCATACCGTCCTGCCAGCCCGCACCCTGACAAGCGTACTAGATCCCGGAGGCAGATACCTACTAAAGAAGGCCTCTTAGTTCTTAAAGCTTCTCAATTAATTACTAAGCCGGTTGAATCGGTTAAAGCGCCTCCCCCCCGCTGGCAGAGAAGGCCTTCGCCACCTTTATAGCCCTGAACGAGAGCATTACCAACATGCGGGTTATGTAAAAATGCGGGTTTATGTAAAAATGCGGGTTGTGTAAAAATCAGGGTTTTAAAAGAAATACATGTCCAGAAAATAGATCATTTTAGCGTATTTAACTTAATGGAGTCTTGGTTGAGTTGTATGTATTTGAAATTAGTATGTTTGGTTGGGGTGGCCGGCTCGCTTGTGAAATACGTTAGTTAGTTACGTGCCACAACACAATGTACCCCTGCCCTATAAGGGTCCTATGTGCAATTCAGAGTACATGCCTGTGGAATCTTCTCGGGGTCGGGGGCTTTCGGGCAATTATAATTTTGCTCTACCGCAAAACTGTTTTAATTGTAGTCGTCGCAGTAGGCCCTTGTTTAAATGCTCGGGAACAAATCAATATGGTGACGCGCATGTCAGATTGGGGAAATAAGGAGGAGAAACCATAGGATTAGCGCATTTGATGCTATGATATTCATAACTAGGGGATCCTTGCGTCTCGACGAATGAACCGTTCTCTGAAGTAGATATCTAGGAGGCTATGATGGTTATAAAATGCGAAGCAGGCTAGTCTTCGCCGGAATTATCACCCAAGAAGATTGAGTTCATCTTAATTTCAAAAAATTCTAGTTCAGGTCCTGGTTGATGATACCTGCCGCCTTCTCAGCAACCGCAAACACAGTCGCTAGGATATTCGCCCTCGGCTCGAAGGGAAAGATACTTGCATCGACAACACGGGTATTAGCCAAGCCCCACACCTTCAAGCGAGAATCTACATCACCGCCATCTTCCAGCGGCATCATCGCACAGACACCGCTGATATGGTACATAGACAAGACGCGCTCTTTGCACAGCTCCTTTTCATTTTCTGGGTCCGTCAGAGGTTTCGGTATTTGGAGACGCCCACCACCCATTTCAAGCAGTGACTTCATGGGCTTCATCCCAGCAACCTTGTCCATCAATAAACTATACCGAGCTTGTATCTCCAGGTCAATCGAGGGAAGGAGGATTCTTTGATTAATGAGAGGAGCAACTTCGGGGTCCGAAGACTGGATATGAACGGATCCCCGTGATAGGGGGTAGCCAAGCAGAGAAAAAAGACTGATAAAGAAAACGGGGTGCCCGAGACCAAAAGACGTTTCAGGATTTCTTATTTACGGGACAGAAGCTGGAATGGCGCCAGAATCAATCGATCCGCAGACTCGTCGATATTCTCGAGTAGGTTGTGCAATACTTCAAATTACTTCTTGTATGCTCGTGATATATCGGGGCTGTCCACCGAAGCTTGTAGCTTCTGGAGCAATTTTATTCCCGCTGTTTCTCCTTGTTTCAACAAAGATGTTTTCAAACCAGGCCCCAGGCACGACCCGAAGGCTCGACCGAGCTTGGATGTCTGGCCCTAAATATGGAGCTAAAGAATGGCTTCTGGTTTAGGTTACTGTATTCACAGCACTGGGGCCCACGAAGGAACCTGTACTTGCACTATTGACTGGATCATCAACCTTTGGTTGAAGCTGTCCATCCACGCTGTATGGTATGGCATGTGCTGGTCTTTAAAGGGGACTAAAACAGGATCTGTGATACCCTGATCCTGTTGGCTATATTAATCCCCTTGAAAAACTCGCGGTTGTCATTCGATGGGGGTGAAGCCGAGTGGAACTTACGAATATATAGGGCCAGGCAGTCCCATTCCCAACTGGGGTTGCCCAGTGATTCCCAGGCATTTAATCCGAAGCGAGACGGATAGATGACCATTCCCAGATTGGTCGCTGAGGAGCCTTCCAATGTGCCGATCCTTGTTGGATAAGAGCCTCAGGTCATTGAGTTGTGCCTATTGTACACTGGCAAGGCTAGTAACGATATTTCTCGCGTTTGAGTAAGCATTGGGATAGGCACCTAGGGACAGGATCGAAAATTCCAATCAAGGCCTTCATCTTCAAACTTTGCTGATGCTAACCTGAGGACGGTAATCTGAGGGTCACTGAGACAGTTTGTACCAGCTTCTAGAACAAGGACGCTGATATTGGCATTTTCAGTGAGTTGGTAGGCCACCACAAGGCCAGCAAGACTTTACCAATAATTAAAGGGTCATTATTTGCGTTTTCAGGTCCTGCGGAGGACAAAGTAGCAAAATATGCCATCGCTAATTATCTTGATGTGAGTGTTTTGCGACACGACCTGTATGGAAATAAACTCGGGATTAAATTGATACAAAGAATTTCAATCAAGGGGCGTCCCACTGCTCTCTCTTCAGTTGTAGGAAATATAGAGTATACACAACGCAATGAATCAAGCCCCCGAATCTCGCGTAATTAGGCCCCGAACTGACTGAAATTAACCAATCTGATTATAGCTTTCAATGACCAACGTGGCGACGGAAATGGGCTGCGCCTATAAAATAACTGGGAAGTATAGACTGAGTTAGGCCGTAGAGTTGGCCTACATGTGCACAGAGGCGTTGCATCTTTTGCTGCGAAGACTCGGTAAAGGGAATAGGACAACGGTGCGAAATGTGTATTACATTGAGGGCCTCCCGGGGCCCTGCTAAGGGTATCAAATCTACGATTGATACAGAGCATTCTTTGGTATAACTCACGATACCCCCCTCCCACTCAATCAGTAAAGAGTCATTCTTCTTCCAAAGGATCTTTGGCCCGGGAGGGGCCGGTGCGGGCGACTCCACTCTGAACCCAATCTAAGGGCTCCACCCAAATAATACGCTAACCGGAAATGGGGGTGGTGTGGTTGAATACAGCAGACTCTGTCGCACTGGAGATTAGCGTGTTTTGGTGTATGTTGTAGATTAGTGTGTGGATATAGAAAAATTTGTTTTGTAACAAAGTATTTTTGAGCACACTTGCTCCTTCTTTTCTATTTAAATGGCTTTGTGACGTCGACGACCCCAATGTACGGCGTCAGACTGAAAAGGAAACCCATGATGGGCAAATCTGGAGTGGAAACAATGGCTGGTAGAAACTTCGTTATGGTGATACCTCAATATTTACTACCTTCCTCGGCTAACCGAGTATGTGGTCCCTTATACCGCTGCAATGACAAATATGTTGTGTTTGTCCTGATCTTTTGGCTTAGTTATCGGGTCAATGGTCTTACATTATCAGGAGTAATGGCCTGATGTGCCTATTTTGTACGGGATTGCAAATTCATGTTGTACGCCATAATGTCACACCCCTTTAATCGAGCATTCCACGGGTCTAGAACCTCATCAGCTAGCTACAAATAGTTAACTAACATCCCGTGCCACTGACTTGACACCCTGGGTACCAATCTCACCAATGTCTATATGAATTGAACTAGTGTAGTGAATTATTCTTGGCGGTCTCGGGCCGCAGCCCTGGGCAAGGTCTAAATAGAATAGATCTCCCCCACTCAAATCGACACTGTCCTAGCAAAGACTTCCCCTATCACATTGTCACTTAACTCAAATTTTAAAATTTCGATTTGAATAAAATTTACAATGGCAAAGCTGACAAAGGAGACATTCTGCTTTGAATATCGGAAGAGAAAAGAAGACAGATTAGTTACCCTTTGAGGTTAATGAAAGCCCAGCTTCTTAGTGACTCATGGCAAAGCAAAGAATACAAGTAAGTCTACGATTTAGATTGATTGATATAGTAACTGAACGTACATAAGTTTCTCAAGACGATCTCTAAAGTCACAATTTAGGGAAAGAAGTAAATGGTAATGGCGACTGACAGGTTAGAAAAAAATGTCACTTACACATATCAAACGATTTGCATAGGTCATACCATTGTGGTGGTCCGGGATTTCAGGGCATTCCACCCTCTTTTCAACCATGCATTGTATCATTGGTTTCGATACTATGTTCCGATGGCGTGCTTAGTCGCCCGTACTTATACTAAGGTATTTTAAAATTAGAAGTAACAAGTAATTCGAGAGCTAGTTAGCATATAAGATATTAAAGAAAAAATAGTTATTAAAACTAGAGGGTACAACTAGTTATCAAAACTTGTATGACATAATGTAGTTGAGAATAGGGTAAAATACCTAGAAAAATCTATAGACCGCTATAATAGCGCCGCTTATACAAATTGTTTAATTAATTTAGTTAGCATTATCTGTATAGATTGGAAAAAAAGAGCGGATTTTGTCATTTAAGTTAGAGAACTCACTGCAGAGCCGCTCCAACAACCTGCCCAATGGACTGTTGAAAGCGGCCCTGGAGGCCATTTCCCTCGCCAACGAGCACCTTCTCCTTGTAGGTCTCTTGTCAAGAGAGTGTATGCGATAACTTTATTCGACCATTTCTGTGCCACAATCTTTGAGAGCACCTCATCAAAAAAGCCCTCCCATTTTCTCATGGGCCCAACGAACCTGACCTTATGCAAGGCAGATGAATGGGTGTGGTTTGGTCCCAGGATGAGCCGCGGAAGAGCGGCGCTGACAGTATCTCTTGCGCGTTGTTGTCCCATGATGGTTGATGCTTTCTAGATTTTTGGGTATATTTCACAATGATTCTGTAGTCTCACTTACTTGGAGAAAGAATTGATTGAAACAATTTCTACCAGGGAAGCTGGAATCAAGAGCGTAGAGAGAATACAGAGAGGGAGCACGCTAGCTAATGTGGATGTAGGCCTGTCACTCGAGAGCGGCCTCTGCAAGCCTTCCATTCTGGGCAAAGCTCCGGTCATAATCCCAGAGATACAAATTCATCTTTCGCAAACCTCACACCTGAACTCTTATTCTCTACGAAAACCACAAAATCACCCATGGTCAAAATAAATGGACCAACCAGTAGGAGTCATTGCGGTCTCACAAGCTCAATTAGAATGTTGAGATTATCATCAGCGTCGATGTAAGTAACAGACGTACCATGAAACTTGTCAAGGTGAGATCCATACACGTGCACAGCATGTGACTTGTGGCATATCTACGGATCAATGGATTTTACAGGATAAAATACTGCCGATTAGTTCACACAAGCTTGGGAGCCGAGCTCACGCGCGGCCCAGGATGAAATTTAGTAGCTTGAAAGAAACAAAGACATGAGAAAGGTGTTAGATTCAGGGCTTTTAACCTGTCAGAGGAGCAGAGGAAGGAAAACCAACATGTTGTCTTGCATTCAGTGGCGGGAAGGAGAGAAGAAGCTATGGAGAGCTAGGGAAGAGAGAGATGGGCGAAACCTCCAAGAGGGAAGCATGCGACCACTACCCTGCGGACCTGTCTGACAAAAAGATAATAATCGACTTGGTAAAGCCGAACGTTTAGAGCTCTGGAGGGGGAGTGAATAACGGGCCTCGAGTCGAAGTTAGCTATCCTCGGAAGCTTATAAATGTGCGGAACTGAATGTCCATAAATCTCTCCTCTATGTAACTATAATATTTCCAAGATTATATAAATGCATGGAAGATTCTTATAAGATAAGATTAATGCATTCAAAATTAGTGTGCTATTATAATGACATGTCCACATGTAGTCCTAAAATAGACACGCATCAACACAATGCCAGGTCATGTTCTTCTATCCAGGATATGTCTGTAGTAGTCCATGATTTGAATTCATACCACACATGTAGTATTACAAATTCTGATATAATCTCAATTAACGGAACTGCATATTGCTGACTACTTGGAAAATGGTATAAAGTAGAAACTTGTCTACTCGAAAAATCCACTCTAAGAAGCCATAAGTCGATAAGGAAAGAGGTGACATAATGACAAGGTGGTTCTGAGGTTAGGGAACGTTGGGGTTGTTTGCATGTTTTACATCCGGGGTTTGTGTATTACCCATAGTTGACGAGCTCTCTATTCCTTTTATTGGTTTCCTCTCCTATCTGGGCAACTTTCTCAACTTCTTACTTTCGCGTACAATATCCTCTCAATCGTCTCTGTCTATCAGTTTACTCCAATCGCATCATTGGCAACTTCATTAATCCCTGACCTATCATGTCTAACTCAGGTCAAGTCCTCTCTGGCCTCGAAGACACACAAATTACGATGAACTCTCCGCCCCAATTCCCGATTAACATCATGCCTGAGACCTGGGATATAGTCAAAAAAGTTGAAGAGGATACCGTGAGCTAGTCCGAGCAAAATTTTATAGATGGAGGGGGTCCTGCATACGTTGCTGGAAATTATTCTGTGTCACCCCTCCGGTGCGCAAGAGCCCCTCGGGTTCTTGCGTGTCTATAAGCAGATACCCTGGCTTGGAATAGAATTGCAAAAGGCTTCAGTCCGAGCTGCCCAGGCTACTGGGCCTTTCGAGCCCCCAGAGCTCCAAGCCCTGAAGCAATTCAAGCAGCAAGGCTGTAACGTTGTTCCCGAGCTTCTTGGATTTCAGTCTAAGAAGCAGGATCGGGGAGATATCATACCGGGCGGATTTGTCACATATGCGATATGGAAGAAGGTGCCTGGCGAGCCTTTGGATTTCACCCGGTTCTGGAATTGCACTTTCTCGTAGCGGCAAACCATTCGCGTTAAGTTCCGACAGATTTTAGAGTACGTTGCCTGCGCAATTGCCAAAGTACCTAGGGCTGACATGAACTAGGATGCTTTTGCCGTTAGACTACCAAGTTTGGGCACCCAGTTCCACTAAAATCTCATACGAATGGTCTACCGGAGAGATGTACGTGTGATTCTTGCTCTCTGGTTAATGATGATGATGAGATAGCTGACTGGTTCATTTCAGGCACATCTCCGGCTTCAAATATGCGACCAATCGCTTCCTTGACAAGGTTTGGAGCGACGCTCACTATCCCTGCACGATCTTGTTTTAGTGGACCCGTCCATCAAGTCGTATTTCCCCATTGAGAGCATCGACTTGTACCGAGACGACAATGGCTGGGAATGGTAGATAGATCAATCCTCTTGCTCTTAAGTCATCTTTCTGGATTTTCATTCGAGTTGATGGTGGGTTACATGATAGTCCACTCCTAGACCAGAAATAGCTTATCATGATACATGCAGGTTCAAATTAGTTTTTAAAGCATTCGGGATTAGTTATCGCATAATATAATAGTTAACTAGTTAACTAGTCAAGTAATCCCCTTTCCTTGGATAAGCCGACTTTTAACAAGGAAGATGTTTCCGCGTTATAGTATAACTTCTTGCGAAAAGTTTTAGAAGTTTAGGAGTCGGATCAGGCTCGTTGGGAGTATTAATCGCTATAGATTAGTTGAGGGAAAGCCTCTATCTGCTAATAAATAGGAACGTAAGGTAGGTAAAATGATGGCTTTAAGCTTACAGAGTCTAGGTTATTGTTACAGAGTTGTTTTTTTTGTAGCGTAGGAGGCGCTAGCTCGCAATGGCAGATAATTTATGTTCTTATACCTCATTTTCATAATTACTTATCAATCCACGTAATACGGCAAGTACAGTATGCTCCTCGAGGTTTTTCTGAAGACTGTTTTGGGTGAACAACTTTTAATAATCAAGTTGACCGAGGTAAATTATGGTAGAGCAAAAGAAGGGCCCCGGAGCTTGAATTTGTAAATCTTGATTAGCACGTGCTATGTTAGTTGGCCCCTATCACCCTAGGGTGAGAATTGTCGCCCTGTTCTCACCTCTCTCACCTGCACCCACCCCGGAGTACTACTGCTTGGGTGCTAAGGGCACATTGAGTTTTGGCCGTGCAGAATACGGTGCTTGAGTACGGCTGAGCGGACGGGAAGGCCCTATTTTTTTACAACCTGTGGTCGTATGTATATTCAGGATCATGGAAGAAGAATATGATGTGTGGCCCTGAAAGTAGATGACTCTGAGTGCATCACATGACCTAGTGGAAAGTGCAAGTTTCACACCTGAGGCACCACTGGTATGCAAACGTTGCAAAGTTTTCCAGGGACGTTTGATAAAGTCACGTGTACCCCGTCTTCAATTTCTTTAAACTGATCCTCCACCTTATCTTGTGTCACCGCTGGGTTTATTGCCATTCATAAATCCTCGACCTCTACGACTCTCGCACCTTTCACAACTGATTTCATTCCCGTAACCTGCCTTCTCTTTCCGGCTTCCTGCCCATCTACCTCATTCACACATCATGGATCACACGCGCGATCCCTGTCCCTGGGTTGCCCTAAGCGACTTCGGCGGTGCCTTCGCCATGGGTGCTATTGGTGGTGCTGTCTGGCACGGTGTTAAGGGATTCCGCAACAGTCCGTACGGCGAGCGCCGGATAGGTGCGCTCACCGCAATCAAAGCGCGCGCCCCCGTTCTCGGTGGTAACTTCGGCTGCTGGGGAGGTCTCTTCAGTATCTATGACTGTTCAATTAAGGGTATTCGCAAGAAGGAAGATCCTTATAATGCTATCATTGCTGGTTTCTTCACTGGTGGCTCCCTCGCTATCCGTGGTGGTTTTAAGGCTGCCCGAAACTCCGCTATCATGTGTGCCGTCTTCCTCGCGGTCATTGAGGGTGTCGGTATCGGTTTCCAGCGCATGATGGCCGATAACACAAAGCTTGAGGTATGTCGATCGTGTCACCTTTGAGTTGATTTGCATTCAACTAGATGTGATTGTTGACCATCAACATTATTTAGCTTCCTCCCCTTCCTCCGTCGGAGCAGAAGGCCCTCGCTTAAATTCCCTCCTCGGTTTATATCCTCCTTCGATCGCCGTCAACATATCCTCCCTTCTGTCACTGTCTTCATAACAACACCTTCACATCATCTCTCTCTTCTCAGGCGTTCGGTTGATGTCATTATTCCTAAACAACATAGCACCGAGGCTCCCGCTTTGCTCCTACTTTCCGCCCTCGCCTTTAATGCCGTCTCCTACGGCCTGTGTCGAAGCATTGTACATTAAATACGGCGGTTCACATTCATAGCTGGTTCTAAGACCGGTGTATGTCTTTTCGTGGCCGCTTGACTAAACACAAAATTCATGATGACATCTGTTTTCTTCTTCCTTCGCAACACTAAATAGCAAGCTAAATCTGCAAATTACACGGCATGCTGCCAATAGCTCGTGGAATAAAGAGAATTTACAGGCAGCAATGAGTCTTCTACCATCCGCGCCCCATCGAGCAGCTCCCAATCGCAGCGATGTAGATTGGGATACCGGCTGTATATAGCCTATGAACCCACTTGTGGTATGTGTGATTCTGGTTTAAGGCTGAGACTTCGGGACTCTTCTCTGGCTTGTCGCAGTCGGCCCCTCATGGTCGTTAAACGGTGAGCAAAACGTCCTTGATGACCCAAAGATAAAGTCGACTGTTGAAGACCTCTTATTGGGAATACGTGTTTTTTTTACACCGATGAGGAGAAAATATGAAAACTCCAAAGACCAACTGTCCCACCGCCATGCTCCCCATGAATCCAAACTCCAGAAACTTGGACGGATTCCGAGAAACAAAGCTAAGCGAGTCGTCCAAGTTGACCAATTCTCCAAATTGGCGGAAACTCTTCATAAATCTATACCAATCGAGGGCCCACCGGAAAATAAGGGCAGACAGCCCGTTAGTGGTAAGAGGTAAAGCTGCTTCTTGAGAAAGGTACCGCAATTCATTATGAATATGATGGATTGAAAACGCCACTTTCTTGTGCCTGCGTATTCGGTCATCATCAGGTAGCCCAATTGCCCTTCACTGGGAATCGAAAATGGTCGCCCCACAGAAGGGATGGATGCCTCTGGTTGCTGCCTACGCGGGTGGGCTTCTCGAGACCTTTCAGCTCCTTATCAAAAAAAAAGGAGCAGAGATTGACACGTCTGATCGGTTCAGAGAAACACCTCCCTCTGCTGCTTGCGAAAAGGTCACGTTGATGTTGTGCGCCTATTGCTTGGCAAAGGTGCAAATGTTCACATTCGGACTCATTTTGAATTATCACCAATAAATAACACCTCGGGTAAAGAATTCTCAGACAACTGTCTCCTCCTTATTGAGAGAGTGGCAGGTATCAACGTCCCGAATAAGGTTGGGGAAATTCGCAAGGTCATACTGAAGTAGTGCGCCTATTGCTTGACTAAACTGCAGATATTCACCATCAGACTCAATCCGAATTTACAGCACTCCATAGAGCCTCAGATGTAGGGGCTTTAGACATTGTACTGCTTCTTATTGACAGGGCGGCAGACGTTAACGCCCAGAGTAATTTTGGACAGACGGCTCTCTTCCGCGGTTCCTACCGAGGTCATGTTGAAGTTGTCAAAACCTCGTTGCAAAGGAAGCAGACCTTGGCATTGCGGCTCAATGGGGCTTCACATAGCTTCACGCCACTTCTCGGGAAGGCGTTTGGACATGATTACTGTGTACTCAAAAAGGAAGCAGCAACTGAAAGTGTGGGCGATAGAGGCAGGAGTTCTTTATACAGGGCTACATGGATAGACTCTGTGTATACTACCAATGTCTTGCTCAGTAATGGAGCTGGAGCGGAAATTGATAGCGTGGATGTCCTTCTAGTGAAGGATCACTATAGCGCGATGCAGTATTTTTTTTTGCTGCAGTCAAACCTGGATGGACTTCGTCGAGACTTGATCTCGCGGGCGATAGGTATTGGGCGCCATCAAAATCTTGGTCTGATGTATAAGTAGTGCTACACATAAAGCTTTGATGCTCGAATCCCTCAAGCTAGGGACGATAAGCTATGGTCTTTAGTCAACTTGGATCTGATACGGATTTGCGACGTGTGCACCCGGCCTATACTGATCAATACTTTATACCGCCGATGTGAAGGCTATAAAAATTTCGAAATTTGCTTAGAGTGCGTGGGAGTTAAAGTTGATTGCTTGGATACTGCTTGTGAGTGGTCCTCTCCTGGGCCCCATGGTTTGGGTGAGGATGAGAAAGATGGGAGGAACGACAGGAACGACGACATTTAGGGCGAGGATGGGGTTGAAAACGAAGATGTTTTTTTCCAATCATACACCTTTTTATTAGTAAACCATACACAGAGATAGACATCGAAAACTCTCGACATCATAGAATATGGAACTCTCCGTCTTGAGTCTTCGTTCGTGTGGCCAAATCCATCGCCAGCTCTTAACTTGACAAGCAGAGTTAGACACCTGGGCAAGTCAAGGCTATAGCGGCTTTGATGGCCGCTTCGAAAAATATTTAGGGAACTGGTCACAGACAAATCCCCAGAGTCAGGGCAGCGTCACAAGCAGCAGTTGTGTACATATCTGCTGGTCCTACGCCTGATCTATCATTTCTGAAGTACTTAGACACTTAGGTATCTGTAGACTCTTCCAAGAGATATGAGATGATAATGACCTTGTTTGAGCGCGCCTTCTTTCGGATGTTGAATTTGAGAAGATCTGTGCCACTGTTTTTAAGCCAAGCTAATTGATTGCACAGGAGGAGTTTCAGGCAAATATTGAAGGACTTCAAGGCGAGGCTTGGCGAGAAGTTAGAAGATTTATATTAATGCTGTAGAAGTCGTTGGATAAATCTTTCACTTTGTGTGTGTTTCCTACAATTGATCCAGTGATTGAGTGCTCTTGAAGAATAGAGGCAAAGGAAAGAGAATTTGATCAAACCTTTTTGCCTTTCTTTTTTTTCCCCATTTCACACAGCCCAATGAAAATTTCTAGTTCTAGTGGATACGGCCGTAGGTACACTCTACGAGGGGGGTAACCAGGAAAGGTAGGAAAGGCGAGAAACTTCAGACTTAAGCGTACTATCCGGCATCCCCGAGCTTGGCCGAAGGAGGCAAAGAACTCCACAAGCGCTCGCTCTTTTGAAAATTTTGACACTCGCGAATCTTTTGATTCTTCTCACTATCAAATTGAACATACCAATAGAATATTGTGGCAAACAGTGTGGCTGAGTTGGTGCATGGTGGGAACCGACAGCCTCGGGTGGATCGAATAGGATAGAGGCACAGAAGTCTACATGTTGGACTACAAAACGTGAAAATTACAGTAGATGGCATTCAGAGGTCAGATCATCAATTAATTACCGGCTGCTTTAGCTGTAGCCTACCTAGCTGAAAGGAACATGCTAAGGTCTGAGGTTGCCACAGAAGATTGACGTAAAATGTGAGTCTGTCAAGGTGCCGGGCAGCTGCGGAAGATGGACAATCTTGGAAGCTATGAAGAAGTGATGTCAGGGTATCCATTATTTTTCGCTCTCGGATGTGTATCGGATGAAAACCGAGTTAATCAATTTGCAAACCAAACTATTTCAAAGATTGGATAGATCTGAAGTTCAAGAATCGAAATTCTGGCTCCACTTCATAAGCTGATGACGAAAGTGTTCAAGACGAAGCGTTCGAGACCGTGGAAAGCTCAGCCGCAAATTATAATTGGCTGATCTCGGAAGTCAACCTTATTGCTTGAACCCCACAAGTATAATTGTTAGTCTCTTCGAACGGTCCTCTTAAAAAGCCTATCCGGACGACTCCACCAAGCACAATAAAAAGGATGGACATCCCCAGATATGGCTTTTTTCTTTCTTTCTTCAAACACATTCTTTGATCTTCAAGTCACTCTTTTTCTTGAAGTCAGTCATTCATTCTAGAGGTCGATCCTCCATTACTGTCACTTTAGTATCTCTGTAAACCAGGTGAACTACTTTTGTCTTACCACTTTCACTCTCTTTACAATCTTCCATCATGATTTTCAACGTCTTCCTTACCGGCCTTCTCGCTGCCGCTGCCGCTGCCCTTCCCCACTCCGCCCGATCCGGAGAATCCGGTGCCGTTGAGACCCGTGATTCCGGCAGCGGCAGTCTTCAGATCGTCAACAACATGGGTACCGACGTCTACCTATGGACCACCTCATCCGAGGCTGGGTCCATGGAAACTATCAGCACCGGAGGTGACTACAGCGAAGGCTGGATCACCAACTCCGACGGTGGCGGTATCTCCATCAAGATGTCTACCAGCGAGAATGAGGATAGCGTCCTTCAGTTTGAATACACTCAAGATGGTAACACCCTGTACTGGGACATGTCCTCCATCAACCTCGACGCGTCTTCCGACTTCATTAAGTCGGGCTTCACCGTCGTGCCCAGTGACTCCAGCTGCAAGACTGTTTCTTGTCCCGCTGGCGATGTGGACTGCAAGGATGCTTATCAGCTCCCAGATGACGTGAACACCTACTCTTGCTCTCTGAGCGCCGGTTTCACTCTGACTCTGGGATAAATTCTCGTTTTTGCTTCTTGAAACCGGCAGGACCGATGGATTTTTGTCTTTTTTTTGTAATTTTTCTTTGGGATCTGCAGAATATTACTGCTTCCTTGGGTTTGTCGATACACTCTTGGATATGTATATAAATTTCTGCAGAAGTGGATATTTACCATCTAGCTGTGAGCTTATCAAGCATCACTAGCACAATACAAGAATGTGTTAAAAAAGGAACATATCCCGCCTATCAAGGACTGATTTTAATTTAATGTCCACCTGATTCGTCCTGTACGTCTCAACGGGGTTTCTGTCTTGTCATTTAGGGAATTTTGATTCAATGACATCATGAGATTTATGATGCTCTCTAGATGACTTATTGTTGAAGCTCTGCCTTGAGTAAAAACTAGAACCAATTCGTTGTCCTTCTCGCCTTTCTGTCTGTATGTCGAATCCTATGTTACAATAAGTTGGTGAAGATAGGGTATTAAACCCCGCAAAATACGCGGACCACTATAGTGGCGCGGTCCATACAAATTGCATTTTTGATGTGATTAGCTTTTTCCGTATAGATAGGAAAAGGAACGGATGTTGTCATTAGTTGGAGAATGATCGTTATTCTCAAGCAGCCCATAGATTTCCTCGATATTCCAAAAAAAACTTGCCATGTGCAAAGCAGTGACCTTCTCGCCATCTTTAATGCGGCGAATACCATCAAAAGAGTGGAAACCTTGCCAGCTCTGTTCAGCATGAACTTTGGCCCCTTCAGCAATTAGACGAGATACCATCTTGTAGCTAGCATAGGGAATAGCTGCACCATGAACTTTCTGTTCCAGCTCGGGAACGTATTCGGAACCTGGAGCTTCTTCATGAGTTTCCGTGACAATTATATTTGAATCACAAACTGAGCAGCCTTGCTCTAGAAGAAAACAAAGAAATGCTTCATGCTTGCCACAGTCTTTGGCAAGGAATACACCGTTGGGGTCATCAGGATCAACATCATCGTTTTCAGTCCGCGTGCTGCACTTAACAAAGGTGTTTCTCTCGACACATTTAGATCGTGTAGTGTCGCTAAAGCTGGAGGCAAGTAGTTGAAAGAAATCTATATTACAACAAATTATGGGACGTTCAATGGATATAAATATCAATCTCCAACTAGCAACCAGTGTGACAAAATCCTCTCCTTTTCCAATTTATGCGGATAAAGCTGACTAAACATGACACACAACATGTGTGGACTGCGCGCTCTATTAGCGGTCCGAGTATTTTCCGGGGTTTCATACCCTGTTTTCAACGTATTGTAACATAAGGGACCCGACAAATGATACTACATCTTTCAAAACCAAACCACATTCCCGTATGCAAAAATTGGGGGAGTACACGTGAGCATTGACCATGGCAAGAGGTTAGGCACTCCTGGTATGATTTCTGTTCTCCCTGGAACCCATGAGTGGCGGTGACTAATCTCTCAGTCAAGGTGGACCGAGGCCCACAAGCCTGTGAAAACCGAGGTTGCTTTGCTTTATAGGATAGGTTGGCCCCCTCCTCTTCCCCAGGTTTTCTTTTTCCATTACCTCAAATCCACCTATCTTCATAATGGCGTCTCCTCGTAAGTGTCTAATATCAACAATGTTGACTCCGCCCATTTTTTCCATGTGACCTTCTATTAAACCGATGGCTTCACATGGGCCCCGTGGCCAGACCATCGATATTAACCATGACCGCTGAACAGAACAAATTCGCACCCCGCTCACTGATCTGCTCAAGATCAACCATCCCGTCCTGCTGGCAGGCATGAACGTGGCTGCGGGGCCCAAGCTGGCCGCCGCTGTCACCAACGCCGGTGGTCTCGGTGTGATCGGTGGTCTCGGCTACACCCCCGACATGCTGCGCGAACAAATCGCTGAACTCAAGAGCTACCTGACCGATAAGAACGCTCCCTTCGGTGTCGACCTACTCCTCCCCCAGGTTGGCGGCAGTGCCCGCAAGACCAAGTAAGAACCTTCGATCGCTGCGGTGCTTTTTCCAGAGTTGACCCGTGCTAATCGCCTTTTCTTTCGGCAAATAGCTACGACTACACTAAGGGCAAGCTCGGGGAGCTCGTCGACGTTATCATTCAGGAAAAGACTAGCCTTTTTGTCTCCGCCGTCGGTGTGCCCCCCAAGGCTGTTGTTGAGAAGCTGCACGGTGCCGGCATCCTCTGCATGAACATGATCGGCCACCCCAAGCACGTCCAGAAGGCCCTGGATGTTGGCGTTGATATCATCTGCGCCCAGGGTGGTGAGGGTGGTGGTCACACCGGTGATGTCCCCACTACCGTCCTCATCCCCACTGTTGCCAAATTGGTCGAGGGCAAGAAGAGCCCTTTGACTGGCCAGCCCGTACAAGTCATCGCGGCCGGTGGTCTTTACAACGGTAACTCCGTTGCTGCTGCTCTTATGCTCGGCGCCTCCGCTGTCTGGATCGGTACCCGCTTCATCCTGTCTGATGAGGCCGGTGCCTCCGCCGCTCACCAAGAGGCTGTCCGCACTTCCAACTTCGAGGACAACATTCGTACTATCATCTTCACTGTAAGAATTTCTGGTCTTTCTTTTTTCATCGAGATATTCAGGGTCCTAATAAAGGGATTTAGGGTCGTCCTCTCCGTGTTCGCAAGAACCCTTACATCGTCAACTGGGAGGAGAACCGCCACGAGGAGATCAAACAGCTTACCTCCAAGGGCATCATCCCCGTCGAGCACGATATGGAGAACTTGCCCGATGATGTCGATGAAGAGACTTTGGACAATGCTCGTCCCTTTTTGATGGGCAAGGTTGCTGCCGTGGTTAACGAGAAGAAGTCTGCCAAGGCTATCGTTGACGAGCTCGTCGGAGATGCCGCTGTTCTGCTCCGGAAGGGCAATAAGATGGTTGCTAAGCTGTAAATAAACTATTCCCTATAGGTCTCGATTTCTTTAGCCATCCTCAGCGTTGAATTATCAACCTCGGCCGGCGATTTTCCCGGCCGAGTGTATCTTGCCTACATCTCGCTCGATGTACCTGGACTTCATTCGATGTCTAACAGAGTTAGCGCTATGCACTTTCCTCTCATGGATACTATAGAGCTCAACCCACTATTTCTAAAAGCCCTTCTTAATCCAAACGCGCTGGGGTGGGTACTTCAATCACCAACCACCACACCACATTCCACGTGGAGATTACATCCATAATCCCTGTCACCAACATTGACTTGTCAATCTCTGATGAAAATAGATTCCCTACCCTTGCATTTCTCATGCAAGCAGACTATACATCTCGTGTCTACATGTGCTCGCATACCGTCAATCGGTGCGATGCTCACAATTTTCGCTTATTTAGATTAGACCACGAAGCCTAGCAAATAACTTCCACCTGATACGCCTGATATAGCTCCTATCACTTGCACTCTTAATCAAAACTCAACTTCAAGCATTCTCTTGCCGCGAACGAGCTAGATGTGAAGGTTATTGAAAGTCGCTGAAACACATGTGCAAACGGACGCTGAGTGATCTCTCTGCAGAAGGACCCACAACTATTTCCTTCTGTCTCGCACGCCCTGTGACGAGAAATCCAACGCCGACGAATGACCTTGCGCGATATACAAGTCGTCCCACCCGCAAACTCACGAGAGATTCCTAGAAACCGAGGGGTCCTTTGACAACTTGAACAAACAGCCAAGATTGCACGCCACTTGTATTGAATTCCCCAGTGAGCACTTGGTGCTACTGGACAGCCACTTTCGTATCCTAAGGCAGGCGTCAGGTGTCGGAGTCAACAACACGCCAATAGACCCATCACGCAAGGTACACACGCAAGTGACTGCGTGCAAGTGGGGCTGGGTGGGTCTGGCAGCCCTACATCCATGGATACATAAGGAGGTAGAATGTATCAGGCTTAGCTCCAGACGGTAGGCTTGACAATGGAAACCCCCCAGTCAAGCAAAGAGTTCCAAACTTGGCGTAAATAGGCTGCCCTGATTAATCAGCTAGAAGTCAATTGTACGGCTAGTGCATTGAGGCCAGTGGTAGGATTCGATCATCAAAAGTTCAACAGTCAAGAGTTCATCCAAGCATAGAGAGCATCTAGCAATCACATGCAACACAGGAGGCATGAGCACCACCGAACCCATTCAAAGCGGTTAACGCGCTCCTGTTCGAATTGGTCCGTAAACCTAATGGGATGGAAAGCGGAGATTACAGTTGCTAAATAAAAAAATTCGGGGTAGGGTGGTGGACCACTGAGCGAAAAAGGAGAGGTTGGCCAATGAGGATTGATATGGCGCTCTGGGGGGGAATTCACTAGATCGTGGCACAACCCTCCACGACTTGTGTACTTTAATTTTCATCTTACCGTATCCTTTCGTGCCTCTGTTGGTACAACTAAATACCTTCCACATTTTTATTGGCTCTCACGCATGATTACACAGTAAGATATCTCAGATCCAAAAATATTCGCCATGTGAGCATTCCTAACCGCTTCAATAGCAAGTTCTGCAGCTGCCTATCCCCCTACTGATAGACTTATATATTGGTTCAGTCCTAAAGCCCACATCCTGCCCAGGACCCAATTAAGCCAGTCAAATTGCACTCACCGAGGGCTCTATGTTCTCACATGATGGGATGTTTCCTGTGCGTACTGCAGGCCCCGCACGGTGGTGGCTGACTGTGGCGAGATTCTGGCCCATGACTCACATTCATCCCAGGGTCTAGAATGCGCCAGTCTAGCTAAATGATTGATCTTTGGAGGTCAAAGGTTACTTACCGGTCTTCGGGTGGACTTGAATCACAGCACGACATCAATGTCCGCGGTGTTTGACCAAGCTCTGGCAGCGCAGCTGAGAGCCCCCGAGAGATTCACAGTGTCTGGATTGGCACATCTCACCCGTCGATCGGAATTCTATCTTCCTGCTATTCATATACACCGAAGAATGGTCTCCTTTCGATGGGTCGTAGGTCTCCATATCTGCGGCTGGGGACGGTCCCCAGGTTAATCATGGGAAGTGAACACTTAAACATTCTTGGGACCTCCAGCTGGTACAAACTGTGGCTACAGGGGAATTGTATTGAAGTTGAAGTTGGAGAAATCTCCCTCGACATCAATTGACCAGGACCAGTTACAGACTGTTGTGGTATCGATCTAGGCTGACTCGGTGCTAGGCCTGCCGTTCTTACCCACATCACCGACCTCAACCAACTTTGGAAGCAGGAGATTCCTAGTCAGTCTGCTTAACACCTGAAATAGAACCATGGTAGACCGGAAGTCAAAGGTTGAAAACATTTCAAAGGAATCGAAGGTTGAAGTGCATCTATAGTCAGGAGAACGCACCAGCCCCAAAGACCCTAAAAGAATGCCTCTAGGACTAAGCAGCAATTCATATCGACGTCTCCTTTTCAAGAAGCGATAGGGGAGAAACTGGATTATCCACTCTATAGCCCTTGCAAGCGCCGTGGCGGGGGAAGGGGGGATGGAGTGACCCGAGGACCAATGATTCCACGCGATAGACCAGATTTAAATTCCAATTGTGATCAGTCAAGGCCAACCGAGTTAACCATCATAGAGAAGCCATCCGAAAATATTAAAAAATTCTCGACAGTAACCAGACGCGCATGAAATACTGCAAAGTGGGTTATTTTTGTCTCGGTGCTTTTCAGTACTTCTGTTTCCCGCCTCTCTGCAGGTTCTCCAACATTTGGGCTTTTTGCCTTTTTTTTTTCTTTTCTTTCCCTTTTTTTTTCTCTTTTTTGGTTCTTGTTTCTGTTTCTGTGGCCATTTGATTTTCATTTTGATTTCTCTATCGTCTTTTTCCTTTTCTATATCCTTCTTGTCCCGCTAACCCCTTCCAAGGTGCTGGGTTCTCCACTCTCCAACCGTCAACGAGGTTAAACCAAGTACTTCCTCAATTTTGATATCGGGTTTGGAATCGGTTCTCTTAAAAAAAATACATTTAAAACTTATATCCCAGCCTTCTCACCTCAATCTCGGCATTTCAGAAGTGTTGGACTTCAACCCGCCAACCGGCTGGTCTTCCCCGCAGCTCGTTCTGCCCCATCTTGTTCCTGGCCCCCTAATCAATCCTAAGGGGGGGGGGGGGAGGTTTCGTCACACCGACTGAATCCTTGGCCATTAGGACCGATTATATTACTTGTGTTTTCCCGGCTTCGCGCTGGTGAAACCACTACGACAAACTGGCGGCTTCTACGGAAATATTACCGTGCCCTAGAGAGGTGGTTGGAAAGTACCCAAGTCTTTCCCCAAGCTATATGATCTAGACACGGGGGGCTCGGGCAACCATTTTCTAGAGTGCGAGACCATGTCGCTCAAACAAGTACGGATCTCGGAGGTGGTATCGGAACATAAACCATGCTGACATGGGGAAAAGGAAATCGAAACATGGGTGCAAGCCCTTGATGCCTATGATCACCAAGAATTCGAAGAGTCCCTGCGGTGCTTCAATCAGATTGCCGACACATCAAAGATCTTGTTCAACTGCGGAGTGATCTATGCAACCCTAGGCGAGCATCATAAAGCAGTAAGTGAACTCATGAGACGTTCTCTCCGACAGCTAATTTTGGTGCAGGTAGAATGCTATCAACGTGCTGTCGGCCTAGACCGGTATCTGGCAATCGCTTACTTCCAGCAAGGTGTATCTAATTTCTTGATCGGGGACTTCGAAGAAGCGTTGGCCAATTTCAACGATACCTTGCTGTATCTGCGAGGAAATACGTCCATTGACTATGATCAGCTAGGCCTTCGATTCCGCTTATTTTCATGCGAAGTCTTGTTTAATCGGGGTCTCTGCTATATCTACCTCCGGCAAACGATCCCAGGCATGCAGGACCTTGAGTATGCAGCCAAGGAAAAGGTTACTCCAGACCACGATGTGATTGACGATGCTATTCGCGAGAATGCAGATGTATGGGGACTGTACTGATCCACTGCTATACAAGCTAATTTAAAGGCAGGGCTATACCGTCTTCTCGATTCCAGTGGGAGTTGTCTATCGTCCCAACGCGGCCAAAGTGAAGAACCTCAAGACCAAAGATTACCTGGGCAAGGCTCGACTAGTTGCCGCATCGGACCGCAATCAATCCTCAGATCACCACTGGAGTCCGATGGTCATCGACAAAGAAGCCCTCCAAGGTCGCGAGGGAGTCTCCTTCGCCGCATCCAACTTGGTCCGCCAAAACCTCAGCCGCACTCGCCAGCTATCCGAACCCCCCCTGAACCGCAACGTATTCCCCCCAACACCACCACCAGATGACCGATCCATCAGCACAGCATCCAGCCACCACCGAACGTCATCTCTCCGAAACGTGCGCCCACCACGTCTAGACCTCGATCGCGCAGGCGCCAGACTAGACCGCCGACCCTGTCCACAAGAGCAATCATCCACCGAGAAGCCACGAGTAGGAACGACGCGAACAGCCCCAGAGCCGCGTGGGCCATCCTCACGACCGACGAACACGCGCGGATACCCCCCGGACCGCCGCCATCGAAACAGCTCGTCCCGCGAACAAGCCGACCACCACAGAAACCTCAGCGACACAAGCCCAAACACCACTTACGCACCAGAACCCGACTACAACCACACAGACCCGTATGATTCATACTCCAGCCAGCGCAACCTAGCAACCACCGGATGGGGCCGGGGATCCCGCCCCCAACCGCCGCAATGCATCGACGAAGAGGAAGAATCCAACAGCGACGCATGCGATTCGACATCCTTCAACGACGGCGCTTTCGAGCTCATCGCCGGTCCAACGGCTGGTCCGAGCCAGTCCCTGCAACCACCCCACACTCGTTCTCCGACAAGCAACTCACACCATGCGAATCCGCGAAGACCGGAGATTCAGAAGATTAGAGTAAAAGTACACGCTCCCGTTGACACTAGGTATATCATGATCGGGCTGAGCGTTGAGTTTGGGGAATTCGAGAACCGGATTCGGGAAAAGTTCGGGTTCAAGTGTCCTCTGAAGATGAAGGTGCAGGACGACGGGGATATGATTACCATGATCGATCAGGAAGATTTGGATCTGCTGGTAAGTTCGGCAAAGGAGGTTGCTCGACGGGAGGGAAGTGATATGGGGAAGTTCGAGGTGAGCTTCTTTGCTCTTTATGCTTTTTATGAGACTCACATTTCCTGACTGGTGCTATGATGTAGATCTGGGTGGAAGAGCGCTCGATGATTTGACACCTGCTTGGATTTCTCTCCTCTGTTGATATATTAGCATGATTTCGTCTATACCCTGTTTTGCGTATTTAGTTAGCATGACACTACGTTCAATGCATGAGAAAGGTTACTGTGATTCTCTTTTACCTTGGGTCTACGCTTGCGAGAGAATAATCGGTAGGCTTGTCTACTATCGAAACCGGGAAGAAGTTGCACTAGAGAAATCATGAGACTGGGGATGTTGAGAGTGCTTTTTGTGAATTCGACGACGGATCTCCTACCACCATTTGCCCCGTAGTAATCTGGGGCGACAAGCATAGGGCGTTGATTCTTGTATTGCGAGCCCATCTAAAACAGCATCGTTCGCTTCGCAGTACATGCACTGAGCGAATGTCTCCGTTGTTTCCGCATGTCCTGCTCGTTCTCCAACAGTATCTTCTGCACACAGCGGGTTCCACTCGGATCGTGCTTCACTCGATCGTCATTGAGGATGTTTGTGAGAGTTGCTTTGACTTGGTGGTGGTAGTCGCGGGGCCGGTCATTCGTGGCATCGGTGGCATTGCCAAAGCTCGACACTAGCGGGTCGTTTTGGCGAGGCGTGGAGCATGAACTTGATCGCTTGATGGATGGGGTCGAGTGTAGGGTGGGCAGCTCAGTGGATGTTGCTGCTGAATGCTTGTTCTGAGGTGGACGCGCCATTTTGGATGAGGGTAGGATGGAAGAGGGAACTGTTGGATTTAATGGTTGAAAAGGAAGGTGAGGTCACCTTTAAGGAATATCTCTGATACAACAGAGGGCAAACTGTTTAAATTGTGTTACTAAAATGACGTCTGGCCAGCATATCTGAAACCTGGCTGATTCCTTGTCTGCCAACCGATACGGTGGTAGAGGGATGGACATGGCAGTTTCCGCCAATCGCAAGTGTCTTTGTCTCGAATTCCTGATCCTTGTCGACGGATGTGTCTATGACCTGTCAAGCGTATGTGATACGAGTCCCTGCAGGATCGCCACTAGGGAACTTGTAAATGACAAGTACAAGGATAGGCTATATCAGACTCTAGTTTACTGGTCATCCTTCCCCGGCCATGCTTTCTGACTGTCAATATCCTTCAAGCCCTGGAATGAACTGGACAGGTAATATGTTCATCGCATCAATTTGTTTCAATTCACACTTGCTTAAGGCGTTGGCTTGATGTCCACAATATCATTCCGTGTCTCTCCGCTCTCTTTTTCAGTCTCAATCTCCCAGCTTTTTCTCTTTCCAGTATCTTCCTTCTCAGTCTCAAACTAGGCAGTGCTTCCCATTCAAAAGCCATCAAGGTTGTATTTGCCATCTCCTAAATCTAAAACGTCATCTCGCGATGACGGTCCTCATCCAGCTGCTATGTCCTCTCCGTCGGTCTCCAACGGAGATAGTATGTCGTCGAGGTACGTGTTAGCCCCATTTTCTATGAACCCACATATCAGGTAGGAGAATTCAATCCAGACACTGTCCTTCGTGCCGTCTTTGTCTGCAGTCTTCGTGACCATCGCTTCAACTCAACCGCTCTTACTCCAGATGCGGAGATCGTCCCGCAACATCTTCTCGAGCTTCAATAAGAGCCACACAGCTCCGATCTTTGCGTGGAAACATTTCTCTAGTCCATAGAATGGGTGCCAGAGGCGGATCTCGGAATCGCAGCCTGAGCTTGCCCGTGTGGGGAAGGCGAACCCGCTGATGTGGCCGTGGCTCGCGGCAACTTCTCCCATTTATTCATTTGATATTTGCTTGTCCCTTAGCACAACTGAAAGGGTAGCGTCACCCTCTGGGCCTGTACGGGTGACTGGTAGGAGGTGGACCATTTGGCCTTCATCCAGTGTAAAAAGAATGTGATGTAGGTCTTGCAGCGTAGTGGTTAGAAAGATGGGTTAATTTCGTGTGAATACAATTCTACTTGAAGCTTGATGAGTTGCATGATAAATAGCAGGAGATGCAAATGCCAAAGACCATTGACATGATTAGAGATATTCATCGTTCCATCTCGGGGCACAACCAGATACGGGGTGCAGGAAAGACCACCCGCGCAGTGACGTTGGATGTTGATCGACAAAATGTACAGTTGGTTAGCAACAACACACATTTCAGACCATGCCACTCCCACAATGACCGACCTGACACCAACTCTCAACAACCTGCTCTCAAAGCAAGGTTCATCAATTTCCCAACCCAGAAATCCTTGCACAGAAACCGCCGACGAGTTCCTGAAGGAGGCATACCGAATTGTAAGATTCCCAATCCTCGGCAAAGCAGCAAGAATCTCTAACGTAAACCCCAGAACTCACACATAAACTCCCTCCTTCAATACCTCCAATCAATTCGCCACGCCTACCTCTCAACAACACAACCGCAACGCCGCAATCAAAGCACACGCGCTCCAAACCCTAAAAATGCACCCCTCACCACACAAGCAAACCTCACAGACCCCGAACGTGACGCAGTCGACACCTCAACAGCCCTCCTCCTCCGCGACCTAGCAACCTCAATTGCAAACCTCTCCTCCGCCGAAGCCCTCCGCCAAGAAACATCCTCCACCCTCCTCCACAAGAGATACGGCCATTCCGTCGCGGGAGCCCTGCTCTGGCGCTGGGCCGGTGGAAGCGGTGCACTAGACGGCGCCAGCGATGACAACGAGGGTAAATCCGCTGAGCAGGTATGTGCAGAGGAAAGCGCGCAGTCGCTAGCGACCATTCGCGAGAGCGTGCTTTGGTTCCTGAGACGCGGGCTCGAGCGTGCTGTTGGCGTGCAGCGGCGGATGGTTGAGAAGCGGATTGAGAGAATAAGAGAGAAGGAGAAGAGCGTACTTTATAAGGTTGCTGCGGGGAAGACTGCCGGTGGCAGTGGGGGGAGGGAAGGGTTTGTTTCTGTGTCGGAGAGAACAGGAGCTGGAGCTGGGAGTGCGTTCGATCCTACTTTCCAGGCGCCTGATGCAGAGGTTCTGAGTCAGGCGGACACCGCGCGGATCGAGGCGCAGCTTTCACCGGAGCAGTTGCAGCTTTTTGCTGAGGAGAATGATTCTATGCTGAGGCATTATGAGGATACGTTGGGGAAGGTCCGGTATGGTTTTTTTTTGGGGGGGGGGGGGGGTTGCTTCTTTTGTGGCTTGGGGCTAGGGGTTGTTTTGTTGGCGGATGCTGATACATAAGGTCTTTTAGAAACGCAGAGAAATCCCTCCTTGAGATATCCTCTTTGCAGGAAACGCTTGTCGCTCATCTCGCTACGCAGGAAGAGCACATTTCTCAACTTCTTTCTGACGTGGATACAACGCAGTCGAATGTTGGGCGGGGAAATCGTGAGTTGAAGCGTGCTACGGAGCGACGGAGTACGGCGCAGGCTGTCTTCTGGGGTACTGTTGGGCTGTGTACCTGGCTTGTGGTTTGGGATTTGGTCTTTTAGTCCTGAAACTGCCGGGCATGTAATATCTCGGATGCTTTCATTGAAAGCCTCTCTAATTGATACCTGATACTGTCTATTCCATTGAAATGTAGCATGTCATCCTATATCTAGTTATTGTTTGGCTGTTGGGATGTAAACTTCCGACAAACCATCGAACAAAGTAGTACCGCAACAGTTTCCAATGCCGCATTGGTTCATCTATGATTTATGTGATGCGTGCGATAACTGCAACTACAGACCCACCTGCACAACTAAAGTACATCTACAGAAGCAGGGAACGAGAAATGCGAAATCAAGACCGAAGTCCTAAAGTTTGGTAAATTGATGCATATTGAAAGTCCTTCCAAACTTTCACCGAGAAAATCTCGAGTTCAAAAATTAAGCAAATAGAACGCCAAACCAAGTCTCATCGAGTGTTTCGACTCTATCTCGAGACCGGGGTATCAGGGATGTATCACAACTTAGCAGACTCGCGAACAACACTATCAACCGCCTCAGCGAAGTAGTCAATGTTATTCGTGTTCAAGCCAGCCATGGAGATGCGGCCGTTCTTCGTCTAGCAGGGGGAAAAAAAAAGAGTTAGCACAACTCCAGATAACGTATATCTGATACAGCAGCAAGAAAGAAAGTCAAAAACATACCATGTAGACATGCCACTTGGAGCGCAGCGTCAGCACCTGCTCTTCAGACAGACCAGTGAAACTAAACATTCCAATCTGCGACGTGATATGATCCCACGAACCAGGCGTACCACGCTTCTCAAGACGCTCCCGCAACCCCTGTCTCATCTCCAGAATGCGGCCACTCATCGTGCGCAGATCCGCCTCCCACTCCTTAAAGAGAACAGGATCATTCAGCACACGGCTGGCAATCCGCGCACCGTAAGCAGGCGGGTTCGAGATCTCCGAGCGCTGCAAAATCGCCAACTGGGACGCAATGTGCGCAGACGCAGCCGCTGCATCCGGGCCTGGAGCAGAGACAAAGTGGAACGCGCCCGTGCGCTCGCCATAGAGACCGAAGTTCTTAGCGAAGGACTGCGCAACGCACAGCTCGAAGCCCTGCTCGACGAAGTAGCGGATCGCCCAGGAGTCACGAACCAAGTCACCCGATGCGAAGCCTTGGTAGGCGGTGTCGAAGAATGGGAAGTGGGAGCGGGCGCGCATCAGCTCGGCGATTTGCTTCCATTGGTCTTCAGTGGGGTCGACGCCTGTTGGGTTGTGTGCGCAGGCGTGAAGAAGAATTACAGAGCCTTGGGGGGCGGCTTCTAGGGCAGCGATCATGCCGGTGAAGTCAAGGCCTTTCGTCTTGACGGAGAAGTAGGGATACTTTGCGAGGGGTAGACCGACGTTTGTGAAGATTTGATTGTGGTTTGCCCATGTTGGGTTTGAGAGGTAGACGGTGGGCTTTTGGGGGTGGAATTTTGCGAGGAAGAGGCCGCCGAGGTGGACGGCGCCGGTGCCTGAGATTGTTTGCAGGGTGCAAATCTAGTGGGGGATGGTTAGCTTGGTCTGAGGTGGGGAGGGGATTTTGAATAGTACACGGGAGGAGATGGGCACGTACTCGCTTTTCACTGATTGCCAGGCTGTCTGCGCCGACGATCAGTTTCTGGGCTGCGGAGGTGAACTCGGCGAGACCACCGATGGAGAGGTATTCGTGGTTAAGGCTGGGATCGTTATGGATGGCGTCATCGGCCTTGAGATGTAGATGTTAGATGAATTGTGCATTCTAGAGGGATAGAAGTACAGAAATTACCTTCTTGACGACAGGGAGAATCCAGGGCTTTGCGTTGTTGTCGCGGTAGGCACCAATGCCCAGATCAACCTTCTTCTCGGAGGGGTCTTCACGATAGGCCTTCATCAGGCCAAACAAGGGATCTTCGGGGGCGGCAGCCACGGTGGCCGCGGTAAATACGGACGGACTAGAGGAACCCATAATGTGTGATGATAGGGAGGAAAGACGATGTCTTGTAGATTGAATAGAAGTCATGGTGAAATTATATAACCCGAGAATACCCTACACAAGTTTTTTTCCCCGGAATCTGACACCGAAACGGGATATTCCTGCTTGCGTTCACCGGAATGGAGTGAGGGGGAGGGGGGTGGGGTAGTTTTGGAGGAATCAGCGCAACCTGTTTGTAATCGGAAAGAATTGCACAAGTACGGAGTACTTTTGTCGGTTATCTTATATTCATCTTTATATCCTCGGCGCACAAGATACCGAGGGGCGACAGGCCATGTCTTTTCTTTTCGTGGGAGTTCACATGCTAGTATTTCTACCGTGGCACGAGGAGTTCCATTTTAGTGATTCTTCGACTCACACAGACACAGATGTGCATTTCAAGACCACGCTGATTGAAATCTCCAACACATTCCCCTTCTCCGACAGGCTACACTCGCCGACCAGAAACTGTGTGTCATACAACGCCGACGGAAAAAGACGCAATGTGGGGTCCCTTCTGGAAAGCCAAGCTCGTTGCATGACAAGTCTCAGGAATGGGTTTATATCTTTGTCCGCACGGAGACCGGAGGACTGAAATTTTAAATGAGATACAACATACTATGACAGTACCGGTAGTCTCCCGTCAAGCAATGCTAGGCTCCATACGGTCTGTGTTCCCCCACACTTGTGGGACGAAAATAACCCATCAGGAGGAGGATCCCGGGATGGAGGAAGAAGACCGAATTTGGGGTATGAACGGGGAGGGACGTTCTCCGATTTCCTTCCAAAGTAGGAATAACATCCCACATCCTCCTCGGGTGTGATTCCGGTCAATGTAAATAGATATCTCCCACACGGACTCCGTGACTCCGCACTCCCATGTTGGAGAGAATCCGATTTATGTCAGCCGCTGATGTAATCCTCCCGAGGTCAGCCAATCGGTCAGAAGTGCCTGGCGATCTTCACATCGGGTGAGTTTTAGGCCCGATGCATGTTTCTTAATGACTCCTGGAACATTAATGATCCGAGAGGATGTTCGAAAAAAGCTGTGGAACCCACGGTGCTGCTCCCTGCTGACCTGACACAGCCTCAACTATATTTGTAAGCACCTAGCCTAGTCGATGATGCGAACATCGATCCATGGATCTGAGCATAGATCTCTTGTTCCTCATGATAGATCTCGAAGAGTTGCCTTGGAATGTATGTAAATGGACGTGTGTGAGGACTTGGAATTCATGATATACAAAAAAGCATTTGCAGGAAAGGAACCAGTAGATACGAATAAGCCACCGAGAAAGCCACCTCTTTCCCTCCCACTCCCACTCAAAAATTTAAAAAAAAAAACTAAAAAACGCCTATGCTCTTTCAAACAATCCAGAAGATGAACATGAAAATCAAACATAACTCATATAAAACACCCGGTAGCCTCCTGCCGAGGACCTAAAATCATCGGAATCGTAAATCGAAAATACATGCAAAACGTAAAAAGAGGGAGATGCGAAGGGAGTGTATCATGCAATAGACGGCGTAAGATGGACGGACGCCGGAGCCGCCGGAGCCGCCGGAGAAGGCGCAGGATTGTCGGCGTCAGATGTCTCAGCCTCGGCACCGTGAGCGCGTGTTCGGATACGGAAACGATCGCGTAGTCGGGTGGTCAGACTACGACGTGATCCTTCTTCGGGCACGGACTCGGCTTGGTTTGCTTCGCGGATGCGTCGGAGCGCGGCGATACGCTCCTCAATTGTAGCATCGCGCATTCGTCGGGCGTTGAGAGGTCCATGGAGGTAGTTGGTTAGACGGCGATGCGTGTGGCGGGCTTGCTGGCGGGCTTCTTCTGTTGTGAGGACCGGTCCGCCTCCTGCGAGTTGGTCTGCTTGATCGGTGCTTTCTTCGGTTTGTTCCGGGTTTTCGGGTTGGGGTGGGTTGAGGTCGATGCGGCTGTGATGTTGTTAGTATGATGTCATGTCAATTCCAACCCCAACGTCAATGCAAAAGAGAACGTACCAAAGAGGACAGGTGCCAGACACATTCATCAACCATGGATCAATGCATTCCATGTGGAATTGGTGATTACAAGGCAGTACACGTAGATCTTGGCCCTTGACGAAGTCATCCGTGCAAATCGGACACGAGAAATTCCCTGTATCGGGCATCTCGGTCTTGGTTTCGGGGGCTGTGGGAGTAGGGCGCTCGTTCTCTTCTGAGGTAGGTATTTCAGAATCGTGCGGCGTCGATACGCCCGTATTTCCATCGGCCTGAGATGAAAGGGGTTCGTGAGTGGCATCCTCAGAGGCCATGGTCATCTCGACGTCTCGTTTGGCGGCCTCCACGTCATCGTTTCTGTCATCAAACTTGACCACCGGTATGGTATCTAACATGGCTCGAGCTATCCCTCGGGCTCGACTTTGCCGGACTCGCCCGGCAATTCGGCGAGGGCCATATCGCTCTGGATGGCGATGAGCCCGGACAGCACCTGTGATGATAATCCCCAGGAATAGGGCAGTGATGATACCTGTAATACTGTACAGGATGATCATGGCTGGGGGAAGGTCAATAAACTGAATAGAGGGTGAGAAGAGTCGGGATACGAACCAGTGTTGGGACTGTTACCCGAGCCACCTGGATCGCCATCAGAAGGAACGGCCGCAAGGTACGACATTGAGACGATGCTGATAGTTGTTTGTTGATGGAAAGCACTGAGCAGTGCAGGATAGCCGCCTCGGCTTGTGAATGTGAAGATATTGGGATACCGTGCAACGGTCTGATCATCTGAAGTGAAATTGCAGCCGGTAGCTGTTTTGCTGTACAGCAGAATGGCGGCTGCGGATTGAGCAGATGTGACGTATTCAATTGTCTCGTCAACTCGGATATTTCCGGTATAGTCGTTCTGATCGCAGGATATGCAAGCGATTTGCGAGCTCTTTAAGTCAAGGGAATTGCTTGGGATGACTTGAGTGGCAGTGCCGGAAACATTAAAGGACTGGTAATTGTCAGCAATGCCCCAGCCGTGCGTGGAGCGTATCTGACCTTAAGTTGGACAGTGGTCGATTGAATCAGCGACCCGGCTACGGGGACCAGCTTCTGGCCAGTCAAAGTGCTTCCCTCAATATGAAACCCAGTGGATTGGATCTGGATTGTGGCATTTGATGGTAGCGACACGACCTCTGCTTGAACTGAAATGAACCAGAGAAGGAAAAGAAGCCACCCCATTATGCGGGAGATGGCGGAATAGAAGAAATAATGTGGGGGTCACATTAGTCAAAATGGAGTTGCATAAAAAAAGAGAGAAACCGGGAAAAGTAGAAAATGAGGGGAGGATCGGCCCTAACTGGGATCTAAGCGGATAAGAGAAGATTAGGAAATTTTCTTGATTTGCCAATTAAAATTGGATTGAACTGGGATGATTTTCAATTTCAGTTGATACTTTCACTTTCCTTACATGTGTATAGAAATACCTTTCTCTGATATACAACATACTCTCTTGTCGGGGGTTTTTTTTTTAATTTTAAAAAAAAAATCCTTCCCTGACCATCGATGTCTATCGCATTATGAACGTCATCGTTGGGCTTATAAGGGTAGATCCTTCGATGGACACCATCATTCTCGTATTCGGCCTATTCGCCCAACTTCGTTGATAAAAATTCCGGACTTCCGTCCTTTGTCTTACTATTTCGGTCATGAGCTCTTTGCTTTTTTCTTTTCCACCATCAACCCCCCAAACCTGAAACATGCAACCTGATCATCCCCATAGTCTGCTCCTACATTCTGATCAAATATCCATGGATCCTCAATAGACTTTGTCAGCTCCAGGATGATTGTTCCACAATCAACGCTCCCCCGCAGATTCCTCTATAATCCATGCACCCCGTTGTGTTTTGACCCACCAAGGGAAAGAGAGAGAGAGAGGAAGGGAAAAAAAAAAGCAATGGAGAGGGTGGGAAGCTCTCGAAAAGGACCAAAACCTTATTAAAGTTCTTTGTTGTCCAGGGTACAGGCTGAGAATGATTGGAGCGGCGAACCCCCGGGGAGACATATGTTTCAAAGTTGGATATAAATCTACAACATTCTGAGATGAAGAGTTAGATTCGAGATCACTCCGTACGAAGTATCTTAATCCTATCTAACTTGATTTCTTCTTAAATCAGTATTCCAAAGGCAAGAGAGTAGGACCTCGGCTCTCATCAGGGCCGGAGTGCATTCGTTATGACTCCGTATGGAAAAAAAAAGAACACAAAAAACAAAATCAAAAGACCGAAAAAAAACCAGAGAGGAAGAAAACTCGAAATCAAATGAAATTAAGGTAGATAAGACAGCTCTAGATCATCTGAAGATCGGAAAAGGTACAGAGTAAAGAGAAAAGGAAAAACCAGTTTTTGTATTAATAGAAACATCTCTCTCTCTCTCTCGTTTTTAGCTTCGTCCCCCTCTCTGAGCGGCAAAACCCGCCCTTCACGTCAAAAGTTCAATTCTTCCTTCCTCATCCTACTACATTTTTTCGTCATCCTCAACTCGCATCTCCTTTTTATGACATGTCGTGAAAAGAGGACTTGCTTTGCCTTTATCAACTCTGTGGGCTGCATCATGCCCGAGACTGCCATCCCGAGCCGGGCCTGGCAACGCCGCTTTGACGGGAAGCCAATCTCGCCGTAAGCCTCTCCATAGTCCTTCGGGGAACCGATGACCCATGATGGCATCGATAGTCTGAACCCGCTTCAGTGCCCTCTAACCCGTATCATTCCCTAGGATCCCCGCCATCGCCGAACTCGATATCGAACGGAATGAGTTAGCCCACACTTGGAAACGGTTTACCAGCCTTCTCCTACCCCAGGATCAGATCCAATGGGAGGAGCGACCACAGACGGTACTCGACGTGCAGACCTTGCTCGGCAATATCAAGACATTCTGGATGTCCCGTCCCCGACCACGGGTCTTTACCGACTCCATGGACTTGTGCGATCGACTCCTTCCGACTGTCGACGCACACTCGATCCTCCTTTCTGCTCTTCCGGACCATATGGCCTATAGCCCCTTATTCTACGGGGTCGTCCAATCAGTGATCAAGGTGCGTGGATCACCTAGACACACGTGTCATCCCATCGCTAACATATGGGTCAGGCATCGTCACATTATCCTCGGGTAATGGAGGGCTTAGCTACCGCCCTGCTAAAAATTTATGATGCTCTAGGTCTTCCTAGTAATCTAAGCCTACTTTCAAACGCCGTCCAACACATTGCGAAAACCTACACTCTAATCTTCTTCTTTTTGACTGAATTCATGGACTGGTATGTTCGGAGGTCCACCTGCCAATTGCTGAACACGCATAGCCAGGATGTCTACTCGGAATTTCATCATCTGGTCATCTATATACAACTGCAAGCACTGAATTTTCCATGGCAACATGCGGTCATGGACGTTGACGACGAGGAGGAGGAGGACCCGTATAGCCCTCGGGCACTTTGGGAGGAGTCCCGACTCAGCCAAGTAGGATGTCAGGGGAAAGACCGTCGGATAGCGGCACAAAATACCATCACCCGCCGGCTCATTTGGGAGGTTCAACAAGACGCAGAGGAACGTACTCGGTATAGGGAGGGCCGGGATAGGTTGTTGGCCGAGACATTGAGCTCTGTGTGTGAGCAACTACAGCCGGTCAGTGAACAGAGCAGTGGCATTGTTTGTATAACCACACCTCCAGCTCCAAATATAGGTAGGAAGTCATGCGGATATTGCAGCTTGATTTGCCCCCTCTAACGCAATTTGATAGACATATCCTCTTTTGAATGGTCAAGGGGATCCAAGCGCCGCCTCGCACGACTCGAGATCCAAAGTTCATCCAAGCACCTCCAAGATTTCTTCGATAGTGATGATCAGATTTGTGACTACGAACCTGGTGTCAAGGTCGTCGCCGAAGCTAGCATCGTTGCATCTCTACAGCAGTGGGCCACCAGTTCGCGATCTCAGGCCCTAGCCGTGGGTGGAACGCAACCTACCGCTTCCCTTGACCCGGTGGCTCTAATTTCAGCCTGTTATGCCTCCTTCGCACGTCAAGCTCGACTGCCCGTCGTCTCTCATTTCTGTGTCCTTTCTAGCAAGGAGGCCAGAGGGCTGAATCTACACGAGCAAGGCTTAATTGCCCTCACCTACAGTATTATTCGCCAATTAATCAACTGGCTTCCTCCTCTAGTTGATAGCGACGCCGTACTGGATCTCAGCGCAGAGCGGTTTCGCCAACTAGACGGAACGCTCACCAGTTGGAAAGCCGCTCTATCGCTAGTCGATACGCTCTTACAATCCGCTCCACCACTGTTGGTCTTTATAATCGACGGTCTAGACGCCATCCACAATCCGTCTACTGATGGAGCCATCCGCGAACTGGTCCGTGTGCTGCTAACCCACACTCGGCGCCAACCACAAGGCGGTCTCAACGGGCAAGGCCCTACCCTCCTCATGAAGGTCCTCTTCACCGTTACCGGAAGGCCAAGTGCGCTGGTCGAGACGTTGTCTGAACACATGCTTATTCTCAGTGAATCCAACAAAACCAACCAACCCACGCCGTCCGGATCGGTCCTCACATCGGATCTCGGAGCGGTCATGATGAATGCATGAATTGCTACGGGTGCCCAGTGCCCAGTGCCCAGTCACGCACTGTTTACGAAATTCTTTTCTGCTCCTGCTCTTGGCTAAAAAAAGAGGTTTTTTTTTTTTTTTTTTGTAAATTGAAGCATAGATTTGCGTGGGTTGGGAATATTTGGATCTTATGATACAGGCACAACACGGATGCCACTTATTTTATGCATGGGTTTTTGCCTCTCTTACAAGATAAGGCTTCCCTGTGCTCGGCGTTCTCCTGTTCCTTTTTGGCGTCCGGGAGGACCGAATGGTTTATTTGGCTTCTTTTTTGTTTTTGTGCTCCAGTGGTAGCGGTAGACCTGTACTATACTACTTGATAGCTGTGATACCCATCTAGGTCTAGAACTCTTTTGCTATTCTTTCTCCTTAATATGAAACTTTTTATCACCTGCAACGGAGACCATTTTCCGAGTCGTCACTCTGTTGTAGCTGTCCAGTACTCCGTAGATCCGACCAAAATCCGGGAAGCCAATTGGAGATTGATTTCCGCCCACAAAAGATTTGACAAACTTCACCGAAGGCATCAACTGGGATAAATAGATCGATAATATACGAAATCATGACCTGCCACGGAGTTACTTCCCGTCACTACCCCAGCTCTCCGAGTTCCAAGATGTTTGCTCGCAAACCACAAATCCAGCAACCTACCACTAGCCTGCGAAGTCCAATCCCACATCCCCGTCTACGATCTCATCGCGCTTGAATCCACAGGCCTAACCTCATACCTAATCAACCGCCTCCAAGATGAATGGCACCACATCCTCCACACTGGTCCAGGCATTTATGTGCTTCCAACCATATATGCACCCACAAAATACTCAACAACTCCAAACACCACAACCACCGCCTTCAACACGATCATCCCCCGCGAAGCCGCACAATCTAACAAGAAAGGACACCACTTCGCTGTAGGCGGCACAAACAACCACATCTAGAAATCCTTCTCAAAACACGCCCTCCAAGACCCATCCTCCTTCATCGATTACTACTCAAATCCCTGGCTAGCAGCAGTCGCTGAGTCGTGGCTGGGTCTGGCTTACCGCGTCACAGCCCAAGTCAACGCAGTGCACTCGGGCGGCACGGCACAAGAGACACATCGCGACTACCACCTTGGTTTCCAGGAGGAAGTAAGCTGCAGGCGATATCCGGCGGCAACGCAGGTGACGTCACAGTTCCTGACGTTGCGGGGTGCTGTCGCGCACACTGATATGCCTGTCGCTAGCGGGCCAACGCGGTTCCTGCATTTTAGTCAAACTTACAAACCTGAATACTGGGCTTTCTTCCAGGACAAATATGTTGTATTTCCATTGAATTTTGGCAACGGGTTGTTTTTCAATCCGGCGCTTTTCCATGCTGCTGGAGCCAATCAGATTGACACCCGAGAACGGGGGCTCAGACGTGTTGCGAACTTGCTACAGATTAATAGTGCGTTTGGGAAGCCTATGGAGACAGTTGATTCGGTGCCGCTTGTTAAAGCCACTTGGGATTTACTGGTTGCGCGGTTTCGGGCTGTTGGGGGTGTATTGGCGGGACAGGAACTTGGTCCTGGGATGCACTCGTTGCAGCAGAGGGAGATCAGGGCTTTGGTCCAGGCTGTTGCTTGAGGGGTATCCTTTTCCTACGAATTTGGATCAGAGGCCGCCTGCGCTGAGTGGTATGGCGCCGGCAAGTGAGCAGGATATTGTTGTGCGGGGGTTGGAGGGTGGTTGGGACAGGAAGTAGGTTGTTGCTGCTCTGGAGAAGATGCATGCTGACTCATGGGTGTAGATCCCAGTTGGGTTTTGATCCCCTGCGCTCCAGCTTAAGTTAAACATAGTATTCGATCTGATGCATCTAGAATCAGCCTTGTTTTCTCCTTCCCCGTTGGCTAACCGCATACTCCGTAGACTGTGTTTGATCTCAAGCCACCCGCTGATGAGAGGTGTTCATTGGACGATCAAGCATATCGAGATGTGGGGTGGTAGTGGACCTGCATGTGGAAATTCGCGTTCATGGTCCTGTTTGAATCACGTACTTTGTACGAAGCAGATTGGAGGGGAGCATGTATAAAAACTGGAGAACAGGGTCTTCAATAGTCTAAAAATCGATCGGTAATATAAGGATGCGGACTAATAGAGAACAACGAATGATGAGGCTGGAAGGATTCCACAAGGGGGAAGAAGGCGGTCTCACATTTTTGCCCTGTTTCCCCCCAACGGGTCCTGAAACACGGCAGGTCCGTTAGATGTGTCCATGGGTTCGTGTTTTCTACTTTTAAAGACTTGCTTTTCTGGCTTTTCTGGCTTTTCTAACTCTTTTACACTCGACACTCTCTTGAATTCAGTCATTCCTTCACTGTACATATGTACATTTACCGCTTTTGGTTGATCTTTCATTAACGCAATCAATTCGCCGATCCACATCCCCACCTACTTCTTGGCCATTGACATTGGAGGATTGAGTACCGAAGTCTAGCGCACACTGGCCCGGCAATCATAGCCACCCATAACCTGGCAGCTATTGCGTAGTGCGGACACGGAAGTTTTTGGCTCACCCGGCGAGGGGGAGGCGAAAAACAGCAGGGCTACCACCCGTTGGTGTGCTATAAGGGGACAATTTTTTTTTCGTGTGTCTCCACCATACCCACGAAAGCCTCCGCAATCGAACCCATTGTGTTTAGGGGCTGATCTGCATTGACACTATAAAAGCCTTGCCTGCCCTCCGAGCTCCTTGCGATGGGACGCTCGAGTCTTTCCACCAGGCGACTGACGGCTCACCGATTCGAGCAGCTACCCGACATGCCAGACCATGGCATTGGGATTTTGAATCCCAACGACGTGACTATTGATATCCCTCTGACTGAGACGACTTCCCGTGGCCAAACGGGCGCCCGTAAATGGAACACCAATACCAGCCCCCTGGACGGCTCCTCGCAGGCCACGGAGAAGGAACCCATCATTGGCCCCCATCATCATCGTGGTCCTGGCGGCAGGCGTCGCGCCGACACCGATATCAATGAATTGTCCGGAAAACGTGCTGATTCGCCTGCGGACGGCACTGTCAACCGTATGGGCCGTTTCTACCAAGCTGTCCTAAACTACTCCCTCATCACCCGGTATTTGATTTATGTTCTTCCCATTGCGATATTGATCGCGATTCCGATCATTGTGGGCGTTACGGTTGCGAAGAATGCTAAAATTGGCGGTGTTCATCTTTACTGGTTCTTTACTTGGATTGAGATCATCTGGTTCAGTCTGTGGGCGGCCAAGGTCTTTGCCCGTTATGTTCCTTATTTCTTCCAATTCTTGTGCGGTATCGTCAGCTCTGGTACCCGCAAGTATGCCCTTATTCTGCGCGCCCTCGAGACCCCTATTGCGCTTATGATCTGGGCGATTATCTCCCTCGTAACTTTCCTGCCCGTTATGACCTTGAATCCTGGTAAGAAGGATTCCGGCGACACGGGTGTCAAGGCATGGGAGAAGAGCGTGAAGAACATTTTGTTTGCGCTCCTCGTCTGCAGCCTCATCTACTTGGTCGAGAAAGCTATTGTGCAGCTCATCTCAATTAGTTACCACCGCAAGCAGTTCGACGCCAAGATCCAGATCTCCAAGCGCAATGTTCACTTGGTCACTCTCCTCTTCGACGCTTCGCGCAATATGTTCCCTGTGTACTGCCCCGAATTCAAAGAGGAAGATTCGCTCATTTTCGATTCCGTCCTTGTTCAGGCTGGTGGCAAGCGGTCATCCGCCATGCCCCTCCGTATGCTCCGCCATGTCGGCAAGAACGTTGGCCGTGTGGGTGACAAGGTCACCGCCGCTTTTGGACACGTCGCATCGGAGCTAACTGGCAAGCAAGTATTCAACCCGACTTCGACGCACACCATGGTCATCGAGGCCCTTGAGCGCAAGCGCCATGCTGCTGCGCTGGCCCGCCGTATCTGGATGTCGTTTGTGGTCGAGGGCCGTGAATCCCTGTTCATGGACGATATCGTTGAGGTTCTGGGTGCTGAACACGAGGCTGAGGCCGAGGAGTGCTTCATGGCTCTTGACAGGGATGGCAACGGGGATGTCAGTCTTGACGAGATGGTCATGACCATCACCGAGTTTGGACGCATGAGAAAGGCCTTGAACCACAGCATGCACGATGTCGACCAGGCTATTCGTGTGCTGGACAATCTGCTCATGTGTGTTGCTGGTCTGGTTGGTGTTCTTGTCTTCATATCTTTCGTGACTACTGGATTCGGTACCGTCATTGCAGCTGGGGCTACCTCGCTGCTGTCCCTTAGTTTCGTCTTCTCCGTCACCGCCCAAGAAGTTCTCGGTTCCTGCATCTTCCTCTTCGTCAAGCATCCCTTCGATATCGGCGACCGTGTCGAGGTCGGCGACAGGCCTTTCATTGTTGAGCGCATTTCGCTTCTTTTCACTGTCTTCCGCAGTGTTACCGATTCCCGCGTCACGCAGGTGCCTAACAACATTCTGAACAGTCTCTGGGTTGATAACTTCACTCGTGCCAATGCCATGCACGAACAGCTTATCATACCCGTGGCATTTGACACTACATTCGCCGAGGTTCAATTGCTACGCCAGGAGATGGAGGCCTTCGTTCGCGACAAGGAGAACAACCGTGACTTCCAGCCGGATGTTGACATCGAGCTCGATGGCGTTGGTGATATGGACAAGCTCCAGCTGCGTGTTGACATCCGTCACAAGTCTAACTGGTCCAACGAGACTATTCGCGCTGCCCGACGATCCAAGTTCCTGTGTGCTTTGGTCTTAGCCGTTCGCAAGATCCAGGTTCGCGGTCCAGGAGTGGCCCTTCCCGAAGAGGAGACTGTCGACGCTGCAGATGGCGATGACAAGGGGGATGATGCCGGAGGTTGTCACCGCGAGTCTACCCAGGGCAGCGGTGCCGACCCATCCAAGCTCGACCCCGGTGTCGCGGCTGCCGCTGCTGGTATCCTCAACTTCGAGAATACCGCCCAGTCGACGGGGCATGAACAGACCCGTTCAGGAACAATCACCCACCGCGGCTCCAGCCAGACCAATGCCGAACGTGAAGCCGCCATCGTCGAAATGCTCAACGCCCGCTCACCAACTGTCGATGCTGGCCGCGACAACTACGACAGCCGCGAGAACGCCCTCCACCGCACTGCTACCAATGCCTCCTACCAAAGCAACCAGCTAAGCGTGCATAACGGAAGCGAAGGCATCACCCGTGGCTTATCAACCGGCCATCGCAAGCTTGGAGAGCATGTCTCCTACAACGAGCACGGTCGTCAATCCGCTCCCAGAAACGCCTCCCTCTCCCCTGTCCCCGCCGGCATGACCCCGTCCTCAAGCCAAGTGCCCACTCTTGAACCCCCCCAAGCCAGGCTCTCGTAGCAGCGCCCGCTACGAGCCCCGTCCTCACTCAGGCCAGGATCAAAACCAGAGCACCGTCCAGATAGTGGGCCCCCCAAACCCCTTCAACGGCGGCCACTACGCCCACGACTCGGGATACAATCAGATTCCGATAGGTACTTTCAGCGCGGAGAACACATCGGAACGAGACCGTCGCGATTCGAACCCGGACATCTCTGGCGTGACGGCATCAAGCAACTACCAGCTCTCGGATCCATATGACCCTGTCTCCCCGCCGTCTATGTACTCCCCGCCCCAGCCGGTGGTCTCACAGCAGGCTGCAGCCTACAACACTGCTCCGCTGCGGAAGAGGGATAAGTCCCCTTATGGGGAGCCTGAGCCTTGATCGTTTCTTCTTTTTTTTTCTTGTATGACTGATTCTCTTAGATTACGCTTTTTTGGCTTACCCTTTTTTTTTTTTTTTCTCATTGTTTATATTATGTGTGTGATGTGGATAGGTTATTTCTCTGCGTTATTTGAGCCGCATCAAAACTACTCCCTTCGTGGTGTGCGGCTATGAAGCTATGCCATTCCCGATCATGGGGGTTTAAAAATCAAATCTACTTTCGACTTTTTCACGATTCTTTACCGCGGTTTTTGCTATTTACTGCACGACTGTGGGATTTTGATGACAGACGATAGGCCAGTGATATGGGACAGAAAACAACGTTGCGATCTATTATTAATGTTGACAGAAAGCTGACTTCCCATGAAAACACACCTATGAAAGCACCGAGTAGAGAAACAAGTAATATTCCCATAATCTAACACATTTTTAATACCAAGTCATATAATACAAGTCTGACCGAGTCTAGGTAGGGCTATAGCCTCTCTCTAGCCATGCTATCCAATCTCATCTTCTCATCCTATTTACCTCCAGTCTCCTTCCAAGGATATCCAACGGGGTCATCCTTCCGCGTCCAGATCTTAGTCTTCCTCTTATTAACCACATGCTCAACAAAAACCTCGCGAGTGTATTTGGCCTTGTACTTGCGGATCCAGCGCGGGTCCCAGAGCTCGCTCGCAATGCCTAGATCCTTGCAGCAGCGCACAAGCGCATTCGATCGACAGCCTTCGGTGGCGGTGGGGATGCCGTCCGGGGAGAAGTAGTCCTGTTCACCGCGGGCGACGGAAACGAGGCTGGAGCGAAAAGGGTTAGCTGAGCACTCTTGTTCAGTTCTAGCTTCCCATTACAGGCTGGGATGAATCGAAACCATTGACAGACAATCTCGCATGTTTGTTAGTAGTCAAAGGAAATGGAAATCTGCTTACCGTCCATTACAAACAAGAGCATACTCTCTCGTCACCGTCTTCGGCGTAACGATACTCTCACTCCGCGGCACGAGACCCCACCCGCCGGGCCCAAAAGCGCGGTTGAGAATCCGTCGGTATTTGATCTCCGGTAGGTAGAGGATGCCATCGGGCTTGATCTCGACCTCGTCCGGATCCGTCTCCGCCAGCAGGATATCAGCCGCTTCTTTGGGGAACGGTGTGGCAGACAAACCGTGAAAGGAGCGTGTCCAGTCAATTCTTTCTTCGGCTGGGCTCTCAAGCTCTAAGGGTTTGTCTGACAGGCCTGTTTTAGAAATGTTTTCGGTTGTTGCGCGGCTGGGAGTTGGCCCTGGGACGCGGGATGTGGGGACGCCTGTTGGGATAGGGGTTGAAGCTGAGGGGGTGGACTTTGTGGCTGAGGACGAGGGTGATGGTGAGGGTTTGGTGGTGGCTTGGTTGATCTGGTTGTTGGTGGTGTAGCTGATTGCTCTATTGGCCATGGGGCTGGAGAGCTGATTGATTCTGGGATTGGGGGCTCTTGAGGAGCGCAAAAGCTGTGTCGCATTTTGAAAGGTCTCAATTGCCCGCCAGGGCCGGATACGACGAGGAGCAGACATCGTGGCTTATGTTATTGACAAGGGAAGGTAAAGCAAGGTCTTGCAACGAGGCGAATATATTCGATCACGTGATATTGATTTGATGGCTTCGTTCTGTCAATGTTGGGAGAATCAGGGATATATTAAGTGGATTTGATTGAAATTGGATTATCTGAACATGGTATTATAGATAAGTAAAGTACATTATGCGTCTTTGGTCTGCGTTCGCTGGTCGTTGCCTTGTCGCTTCCAGCACTCGCGGAAAGCTTCCATCTGTGTTAACCAGAGTCAGCATGATCTAGATAATTGAAGTTACGCGGTTTTGCTGTCATTCACTTGATTTAGAGAAGCGACAAGAAAAAAACATCACAGAACTGGCCCTCCAATGGCTTTCAGGTGGACTGATATGTTCAGATTGATGGAGAGTATAGCTCACCTCTTTTTTACATTCGCGCCAGTCCTTCTTTGCGTAGTAGCAGTCATTCATCTTATCCTGCTCAGCTGATGTGTGTTAGCATGGCATCTGTGACTCGTGTTGAGCATCACCCACTATGGCAGCCTGTGCTGAAGATCCGCTTGTCCCTGCCATTGTAGTTAGCACCGCGCAGATCAGGAACCCCCAAAGACCTCACCAATCATCTGGCTCATCATCATCCGGGACAACAGTTGTCTTCTCCACGTTGTTCGACATGGCTGAGGTTTGGGTAACGAGGAATGTTGGAGAAATGCGGCAGGCCTCGGCGGAAGATAGAACTATCTTATCGCGCCGATGTTCTCTTTGCAACGAACCAACAATGGCAACGCCAACGGGCGACAGCGCCAATTTTAGTGGCAAAAAGCTCAACGTCCTAGTTTATTCTGGTTCGCTCAGTCTCTTTGGCCTAGCATATCAGCCGTTCTCTGACCAACAACTTCTCGTACAGGAAATGGAACCACTGTTGAGTCAGTCCGTCACTGCCTCTACACCCTCCGCCGCCTGCTCGCTCACCACTATGCCGTCATCCCGGTGACGGGTGATATGCTCCTTAAAGAGCCATGGATTACCACGTGTGCCATGCTGGTCATGCCCGGCGGTGCGGATATGGGATACTGTCGCACACTCAACGGTGCGGGGAATCGACGCATCGCGCAATTTGTCCGCAATGGCGGGCGGTACCTGGGTCTGTGTGCTGGTGGTTACTACGGATGCAAGAGGTGTGAGTTCGAGGTTGGTGATAAGACAATGGAGGTTGTTGGAGATCGCGAATTGGCTTTCTATCCGGGCATCTGTCGGGGCGGGGCATTCCCAGGCTTCGTCTACCATAGCGAGGCGGGGGCACGTGCTGCAAAGCTCGAAGTGGCTAAGGATGCCTTGAACACCGGTACGGTGCCTACCAACTTCCGGTCGTACTACAATGGCGGTGGTGTCTTCGTTGATGCGGCGTCGCTTGTAGACAAAGGGGTGGAAGTTCTTGCAAACTATGCTGAAAAATTGAATGTCGACGGGGGTGAGGGTACGGCTGCTGTTGTCTACTGCAAAGTCGGCAATGGAGCAGCTCTCTTGACCGGACCTCATCCTGAGTAAGTTTTGGGCTCAAATTGGCATGATTGGCTCACTCGCTTACTCATGGACTAGATTTGCAGCCGCAAATCTGGACCCGAAGGCGGGCGGGCCTGAATATGCCGATATGGTGGCAGCTCTCGCTACCGATGACAAGGAACGTACGGATTTCCTGAAGGCTTGTCTGTCTAAACTTGGACTTGAAGTCACGCAGGACACGACACCAGTGCCTTCGTTGTCGTCTTTACATGTGTCCGGAATCGATGCCGATGGTCCCATGGATATCCTGTCGGGTCTTGGAGTCACCTTCACCCAAGAGGGCCAGACCGAGTATCTCAAGGATGAGCACGATACGTTCCGCATTGAACGTCCTGGAACATGGAATCTTGGTGAGCTAGAAGAATCGCTCCCCGCAGGATCCTCAGAGTCGAGCGATGGAATCAGCGAAGGCATAATCGATTACCAGGCAATCATCAAGCGACTTGTGTTTCACGATGATTTACCCTCTTCTAAATTGACTCCATATTTCAACCACCATGCGTTCTATTCCCACCTCCGCCAATACCAATCCGAGTCTAAGGGAGAGGCCACAACATTCGGCTCCAATCTCTTATACGGAGAGGTAGTAACTAGTACGAACACTATTCTTGAAAAGTAAGCATCTTGGTCGATCAACATGGTCTTGGTTGGCTCTAACGAGCAGCAGGAACACGAAGCTGCTTCGTCAGCTGCCACAAGGATTTACAGCTACTGCTACAGCACAGATTGCTGGACGCGGACGCGGGTCTAATGTTTGGGTCTCACCAGCAGGTTCTCTAATCTTTTCAACTGTGGTACGCCACCCAATGGACAAAATTCAGTCGGCACCGGTTGTTTTCCTTCAGTACCTATCAGCCATGGCAGTAGTCAGAGGAATCAAGAATTACGCCAACGGCTACGAGAAGATACCGGTCAAACTAAAATGGCCGAACGATATTTGTGCGTGCCAGGTTTATCATATTACGGTGGTTGACAAGCCATCGCTCGCCATGATTTGTGCAGGTGATTTACATACTAATGCCTAATTTCTACAGATGCACTAGATCCAGATGATCCCGAACAGAAACGGTACACAAAAATCTGCGGCATTCTTATCAACTCCCATTTCATGTCAAACGAGTACATCTCCGTTGTCGGTATCGGCGTCAATGCTACCAACGCCTCTCCGACAACTGCGCTGACCACTCTCGCCGCACGCTACGCTTCACCAGGCGCTGCTACCGCTTCACCCGTCACGCTCGAGCGGCTCCTAGCTCGCATCTTGACCACCTTTGAATGCCTGTACACACGCTTCTTGCGCACAGGCTTCGATCGAGGCTTTGAGGCTATGTATTATGACGACTGGTTACATATGCACCAGATTGTCACGCTGGAGGAGGAGGGCGGTGCTCGCGCTCGCATTCAGGGTATCACCCGCGATTGGGGTCTTTTGCTGGTCGAGGAGTTGGGGTGGAATGATCGTCCTACAGGACGGGTGTGGCAGTTGCAGAGTGATAGTAACAGTTTCGACTTCTTCCGTGGACTAGTGAAGCGGAAGGTGTAGATCAAATCAAAATAGATAAATCAGCCGATTTACATTTTCACGTCTCCAAATACTGGCAAAAAGTCCTATGCACAGGGCCCAGGGACGGAAAATCATTTAATGCAGTGCTCTACTTCTGTGATTTCCTTCATCATCAACATCAAGATCCTAGAGAGTTGATTCCATCGACACGCCAGGACTTCTGACTCTGAAATCAATGTGTGTTCATTCGGCGTTTGGTCGATCGTGATTGCAGATCAAGAATGTCAGCAGCTGGCATCCTCATTCCGACCTCAACAAGGTTGCGGGACTATCAGCCGACGCGTCCCAAGGAGTCTCAGGGGCGGTAGAATGTTTCGACCAGAGTGTTTCGACCAGAGTGTTTCGACCAGAGTGTTTCGACCAGAGTGTTTCGACCGGAGTGTTGAAGACAGTGTTGAAGACATCTTGGGTTAAACGAAAGTGGCGGAGCTCCACAATCGACACATGAAGACGGGGGACATCATCTCCAATCACAGCCGTAGGATCATTGTCATCTGGTGACCAGCCTCGCGCGTCGGCCTATTGAGGCGCAGGACAATCGGCGGAGCGAGGAACCCATTGGCGGGAGAGAGCTTGCCATGCCGGGTGAGAACCACCAGACCGCCGGAATCAGAGAGCAGCATGGCTTTCCCTCTAGGGGAAGCTTCTCGAGCGCCAACCACTGGATAATCGGTTTCAGCAGCGGCCGGGAAGGGTCTGGCACCAGGAGGATCCGACCTTGCGCCGATGTTACAATAGGATCCCCGGGTCGTCAGTATCGGTCATGGTGATTTGAAATCCCTTCGATGACCGCATCCATTGATGGTTACAGGTTTGAACCGCTGATCGAGTCGGTATCAAGCCAAAGACGGTTGGGCTTCCATCGAGGTAGCAGCATCAACATGCCTGGTTGAACGGCATGCACGCCATACAGATTCGCTCCTTTTCAGCACAAAGCTCTGGCCACACAATTCTCCGCGAGACACGCAGTTTTCGGGCCGAATTGTTCATCTTGCTGGTAGCCAATTCCGACCCTCCATTTGAGGTCAGGGAAGGAGCCTGCTTATCAATCAGACTGTTCCTGGCTTATACATGACCTTCAATGTAAGCATAAGTCTCTTTCCCTAAATACATTGCCTTCACGTCTGATGTATAGAATGGAGCTCCGACTTTGTACAGAGACGTTAATAGATGCAGTTGGAAGATGGTATATAGGGAAGTGTTAAGGCATGGACTCGGCCCAGGAGACCCATCGTCGAATACACTTGTCCACTCTTCTTAACGACTCCTTCTCCGCCTCGACCTCAAACCATTCCCGATGCTCCTTTCCACACTCAGGACATTGCCCTAAGTCTCGCACCCGCAGAGCCGCCAGCTCCAGGTGAATGAGTCGTTCAACGCGATGCACATGCGGGACTTTCCTTCCCGGTACAAAAGAGGCAGAAGGGGCCTTATTCTGGCTGTTGTGGGATGGCGGGACCCTAGCAGAGGAAGATGACGAGAATGACGATGGTGTATAAGGGTAGTAGCGGATCAACGTCAAGTCATACGAGCACTGTTTACTCCATTCAGTGAGTCGACGGTGCACATTGCTCGTGCGTCCGATTTTTAGCCTGAGCGTTCCGGGCGCGGTTGACGTTGGGTTCGATGTGAGGGCATTAAGGTCTTGTGCTGCCCGGATTGCTTCGCTGACGCTGCGTGGCTGGGGTGGGGGGGCGGAGGTGGTTACTATTTTGTGGGGCTTGGGGCAGCAGAGAAGATGCTATGTCTTGCGGTACGACGGATTCGGCGCTCCGTTGTGTGGTAGCTGTTGGGGGTGTCACCCAGAACATATAGATATAGCCTTCGTCGTCGGCGCTGGAGATTGGTTTGGCCAATTCTGTGAGAAGAATGGATGTTGTCTGTGGGGAAAGCGTAGACGGGATCCACGATAGTAAGGATTGTGTTTGCGGGGAAGTAGGCTTCCCCGTGTCTGACACAGACGGCCTGGAGGTGGGAGTGGATGAGACTTGCACATGCTGCGGCCTTCCAGCAGAGGCAGGCAGTTTGACCTTTTGGTTCGGGTTTGCAGAAGCCGAAACACCACTTGTCGGGCGAGGTGGTTGAGGCCGTTGAACCGAGGTAGGCCTGTCATCCTCACCGGTGTCCTCTGCGATCCGGAAGCAACAGAAAATGGACCTTTTCCTCGGCCGACGCTTTTCCGTGGGCCTGCTTTGATGTGTCGGCCGTTTGTGGGGAGGTTTGGGCCCCTGAGAGATTGAGACTGGGTCATCATTTATTTCAAGCACACCCAGCCGATCCATCAATGTATCGATGCTTGTTCTCGTCTTGGCTGGGGTGATGACAGTCGTAGGGGGATTCGCCAAATCCTCTTGATCTTGGTGCTGCCAGCAGTACAAAGATGCCACATCTTGGCGAGAATCCTTCTTTTGAGGGTTAGAAGCAGGTGATGGATTTGGAGATGCTAAAGGGCGGCGGCAGGGCCGACCTTGGGAGGTTATGCCTCTACATGTTGTCGCTGGATTTCGAGAATCTGAGCGAGGAAGCAAAGATTCAGGGGTGTTTAAAATTTGAGGCATGTATCAATGCAAACGACTAAACGAAAGAATGGTGTAGATTGCTTGCGACGTAAACTTGTTGAATAGGAAACCATTCGGACCCAAAAATTAAAACTTTGCATAAACTGCGGTGAGCTGCCAAAATGCAGCCTAAAAGGCTACTTCTTCTCCACTTAGGACTTGGACCACATCGGACGTGAGAAGGGAGTGTTTTGGTTTTGGTTTTTTTTTTGGTTTTGGTTTTTTTTTGGGACGATTTTGGTTGCACTGCCATCTTGAGGCGGTGTAAGAAGTGGCTGTGTCCATGCTGTTGGTGTTAATCCCACACAGTCATTGGATCATATTCAGTGCTTTTTGTACGTGGCTAACAGAAAATAGCAAGAATGTAGAACATAGACATGAGAGTCTGAGACGTCTATTGCACAATCAGATAATTTCAGATCAAGAATAACCGTTCTGCCTACCGTTGTGTTCCATTCATTACCCATCCACATCGCTAAGAATCGTGGAGTGTACATCGGAAGGACTTGCCCGAAAGGGCCTAACCTCACTGGACGAATAGCCTATATCATACCCCACGCGCCTTGAATGTTGAAAGATCAGAAAACTACTAATCTCAAATGGACCTCTTCATTGACCTCGTTACCCCTAACGGGCACAGCTACAAGCAGCCCACCGGTCTCTTTATCAACAATGAGATTGTATCCGCTACAGGAGGCCAGACCATCACATCTCTTGACCCCGCGTATGTCATTCTAGGGGGGGGGGGGTTTCTGTACACCTCACTAACTATTCCCCAGTACCGATAACCCCATTGCTACTGTCCAAGCAGCGAGCGCCGAAGATGTCGACCGCGCCGTGAGAGCGGCCAAAGCGGCCCTGGTCCACCCGTCGTGGAAATTACTTCCCGCGGCAGAGCGGGGCCAGTTAATAGCCCGACTCGCTGATCTTATCGAGGAGAACAGAGAGTTATTCGCTTCAATTGAGGCTTGGGATAATGGCAGGTCTCAAAAATTCCCCAAAGAAGACATGTTGCTCATCTTAGATAGGAAAACCCTACCACGTCGCCGTTGATGAAGATCTCACCGAGGCAATCTCGACAATTCGCTATTACAGTGGCTGGGCCGATAAGACCTCCGGCCAAACCATCACCACAACTCCCCAAAAGTTCGCTTACACCATCCGCCAGCCCATCGGTGTAGTGGGCCAGATCATTCCATGGAACTACCCTCTTTCAATGGCCACCTGGAAGCTTGGCCCTGCACTAGCATGTGGAAACACAGTTGTCCTAAAACCGGCCGAACAGACCCCTCTCAGCGCTCTCTTTCTTGGTACTTTGATCAAGAAGGCCGGATTCCCTCCCGGGGTGGTGAATATCGTCAATGGCTACGGGCGCGAGGCCGGCGCCGCGCTCGCTTCACACCCATTGGTCGATAAGGTCGCATTTACAGGATCAACTGTAACTGCCCGGGAAATCATGAAGATGGCCGCCGGCACACTCAAGAACATCACGCTCGAAACAGGCGGCAAGTCCCCTTTGCTGGTTTTCCCGGATGCGGATCTGGACCAGGCCGTCAAGTGGTCGCACGGCGGTATTATGTCCAACAAAGGCGAGATCTGTACCGCCACCTCGCGGATCTTTGTCCACCGCGATCTCCTCGAGAAATTCACGGCTAGGTACAAGGCGGCCGTGGAGGCCGTGAAGATCGGCGACCAGTGGGACGAGACGGTGTCCCACGGGCCGCAGGTGACACGCGCGCAATCTGAACGGATCCTCTCCTACATTGAGATTGCCAAGAGCGAAGGAGCTACGATTCTTACTGGTGGTGCTGCGCACACGCCAACGGACGAGAAGAATCAGAATGGATACTTTATTCAACCTACTGTTATCGTCAATGCAACAGACTCTATGCGCATTGCCCGGGAAGAAGTGTTTGGTCCCGTCGTGGTGATTTTCCCCTTCGATGATGAGGAAGAAGCCATTCGTCGGGCCAATGATACCACTTACGGCCTAGGTGCGTCTGTCTTCACGCGGGATTTGGAGCGCGCTCACCGTGTGGCTGCTGAGATTGAGTCTGGTATGGTCTGGATTAATAGCAGTCAAGATTGTGATCCGCGCATTCCTTTCGGCGGCGTGAAGCAGAGTGGCATTGGACGCGAGTTGGGAGAGGCTGGTCTGGAGGCATATAGCCAGACTAAGGCGGTTCATGTGAACATGGGTGCCAAGCTATGAAGTTAAGAAATACATTGCACAATGTCAATGTAGACTTTCCCCGCTGTGGATTGCCTTGCTTAGAAATGCCATGTTTCACTGTCGGTCGTGTGGACTATCCCTAGTAAGTCCCCAGCCGAAGTCAAAGGTTCTGCTTCACCGTCTTCCCCCATGTACATGATACAAGCTGAAGTTATCACGACGAAATTCCTTTTTGTCTTTGGAATATAGGGCTTTCGATGGGAGCTGTCCAGAATGCGGGTGATTGGGTCGGAGTCCCCGGATCTGCGATGTCCCTTGTAGTTCAGATAGAGCAGTACCTGAACAACGCGCCTAGCAAAAGAATTCGGCTGAACGAAACTGTCCTTTTTTTTTCTAGTCTGCATCACGCGCTCAAAATTAATTCACCGCCCCCTCACTACCCCCCATACTTCAGGAAGGCCAAGTTTTTCTAGGCTATACATAGCCGTACGCTCATCCAGGAGATCCTGTAGGCTTCCCAAAGAGTTCTGTATGAGAATTTGTTGCAGTGCGTTGACGATCGGCTGGATCTGGGTATCGCTGAGAGATTCATCTTCATCAAACAAGGTGAGGTACCCGCGTCGGCCAGGGAATCGACAAGCAGCACAATTCTCAGCTTCTTTTCGTTTCTGGGACGCAGTAAAGGAGGGAAACTACCATCCCCATTATGCTCAGGTATGGGAAGCAGCAACCTCTGGAGAGAGGAAGAGGAAGAGGAACGAGGAGGGCTAGCGGTCACGAACTGTTTGTCCGTTTCCCTGCCGGAAAATGCACCTGAGGATGCTTTCTTTGTCGCAGGGATAGGCTACAACCGTGGGTTTGAAATCTCAAGCGTATTCGGATTGGGAGATCCTGAAATTCCAGGATTTGATGGGGACCGAGGGACGAAGGAGGTTTAAATTCCATCCTCCCTGCTGCCATACGTGTTGCTTCTTCAAGTTAATCCATACCCTCATCACATGACAACTATATCCTCTACGAACCTGTCTTTCCACTTTCCCTTCTGTTGTGCCCAACTTCTCCATGAGGTTGGCTTCGGCGGTTTGTGATCTTGCATGATCTCCCTTCAACGGTCATGGTCGCCTGTGCTGGAATCTCCAAGCAGTGATTCAAAATTTATTCGAATTCTCTAGTGAGAGGTAGAACCAACGTAATTCGACATGACGGCCGTAGTAATCTCAAGAGGTGACGCAAGGGTAAGAACAGTGAGCTGTTGAAACGGCGCGGTTTAAACTCCGGCGTTAAAAGCTGTCGCGGAGCAACTGATTTCGAGGTGGACCTCGGGGTTTGATAGCTCATACAACATCCCTCGGGAATGAACAAAAGCAACCGTCAAGTGAAACGTAGGAAAGAATTCCGATGTGGTGGGACTGGCGGATAAGCCGAGAAGAGGAGTCCACTGTAATCCATCAGGAGTAGCGGCCTGATCTGCCGTACGAAATTACAAGGCACAAAGCGTAATGTCGAATACGTTGTTGTTGTTACAATACATGGTGGCAGGGTCTTGAACCCCACGGACAGTCGACGGAGCGCCGAATGGTGGACCCTACAGACGGTCTATTTGGAGATTAGTTGGATTGTCGAGTGAAATTTCTGTTCAAGTTATTGAAGGTCTCTCTAGTGGTCGTGCCATATCTGACAATATACCGAGATATCTGCCAAGTGAAAAAAAAAATTAAAAGGAAAACGGACAGGGCAAGTGGGATAGGCTACACTCACACTGTGGCCAGAGGGACGTCGGGTATGGAGTACAACATAAATGCTTTCAAAGTATTTTTGATGTCTGTGAATTCATTCTTTGGTCGCCTGGATGTTTCATCTTATTCTGTTATCCATGCACCTCCTCTAGTACTTGATCATAACCGGACTCTAGTCCGAGTCAATGGGTCCAGTTCAAACCCCTCAGACATGTCCGTATCCTATTTCGGGCGCGACTTCCCATTCATTGTCTGCGGGCCACACAATCTTTCACGTCCAGGTCCTCGGGGAGTTCCTATAAATGTTGCCGTGCCTGTCTAGCTAGGAAAAGAAAGCGAGCTCGTTTCCTTCTCAGAAGCTCAATTCATCCTGACTGCCGTGGAAGACCGCCGACTCTGTGGTGGCTGAAGTGGGATTCCCGTGCACAGTGGTTCAACGAGAACGGAACAAGACAAAACGAGGCCTTTTCACGGCTATTAGAGCAGCGATCGATGTAGTGAGCCCATCACGACACGAGTTTGATATTCAGGGAGTAGGAGAGGCTGAGAAGAATGCTTTTCTCGAGATGGTGAGGAATATGCTTCCCTATACCCCTGCGGAGAGGTCAGCAGCAAGCGAAGTCTTGACTTGCGAATGGATGCAGCACTGGGCTCGTCCCGAGATCTCTCAAACCAAAAAAAGAACTAGAAATCAATGCTTTACATCTTGTATCCGAGATGTTTCTTGGCATCCCGATCTTAGACTGGGCCATATGTCGGCCTCCGTATAAGAGCATTCTATTCATCCGTCGATCCGCAGCAAAACCATGGGAATAGCTTCGTATGAGATGTTTCATGAATCTAACTTGTCAGTCGTTGACACCTGCTAGGGTCTAGTCAGGAACTACAGAAGCCTCAAGAGCCTATGGATATCGTGACAGCAGCAGATAGGCGTAAAGAGGGTAGCACCTCTCCCGCAATGTCCGTTCTGTCTGAGATTGTCCAACGAGCGTACTCCCAGGTCAGGGTATTTGATTACATCCGCTACTACAATCCCGAGGTCAAGATTTCATTGGACACGGGAGTGCTTCTTTGCTTTGTCTTTTTTGTGACTGACGAAACAAGACAAAGAGATCCATGAACTACGGAGCATGGCATTGGCCTGGTAAGTTGGTTGCTCTGGAATTAAAAAAGCGGAAAATCTCAAATCGGAACGAGGTCCCAGCGAAAATCACCAACGGGATCTGTCTATTGTGCAGGATTCTCGAATGACGTCACACTGAAACAAAGAACCGTCAATACAAGTACCGTCCAATACAAGCCGCTTGCCAAGACCTTGGCACGCCCACAGGGCTGAAGGGCTGATCAGTCGAATTCTCAGGTTTTGATTTTCAAGCTCAACGAGGCTGTGCAATCCATTCCCGTAGACCAAGTGTCTATGTTGTATGGAGTACTGGAGTACTAGACTGTTCACAGCCACAGTTGTACCGGTAAATTTAGAAAAGGAACAGCCCCGCTACGTGCAAAGCCTCGGACCAGGCAGCATCATTCTGATTAGTTCCCGGGACTCAGCTAAACTTAGTAACGTGTACCTCTTGAGATTCAACGGCTTGGAAAGTGTTGGAATGTATACGGGACGTGTAATCTTCTTGGGCGCTAATTGTTCCAATTTCCTCATTTTTTTTTTTTTTCGGTCCGATCATTCACATAATGGGGGAGGGGAGGGGAAAATCTACATATACCGCCGTTCTTTCTCTTGTCTCGGTTCTTTTCCTTTTCTGTTTTCTTCATCGACTCCCACTTACATCTGACGACCTTCCACCTTTGTACTTTCTAAAACTCAATCAGCTCACAATGTTCAACTTCAACTTCTTTAAATCCACCCCGGCCAATGAGCCCGCCACTGATGGCTGGAACGCCAATACTGTCACCATGCAGCCCACCAGCCCCGCTACCCCTTCAAGCAATCAGAACGTCGTCTCTGAGCAGCCGGTAAGTTGATACCCTGAATAGCAATTGTAGCTTAAATTTCCAGAACCCAAAATTAACAGCTATCGCATCCAGACCGGCCAAGAACAAATGCAGCTGCGCGGTGGCGGCGGCGGTGATGTCTGCTGTGGAGTGTACGTTCCTTTCCATCCCCGCACATCCAAGCTACGGAATGATCTTCCGCCATGGCCACAATAAAATCACAGGTAACTAACGTATCCCAGTTGTGCCGGTATCGCTTGCTTCGAGTGCTGTGAGATTTGCTGCTAGGCGCTCGGATGAGAACGGATTGTGGCCGTCGACGCGCTCAGGCAAAAACATCTATTGATGAACTCGGTCTTGCCAGGATGATCTCTTGGAAAACTCCTGGATTCTTGCTAGACGGGACTCATCATCTACCGCGTGGCCTCGGCGGTCTTTCATGTGACGCGATTATGTGATGTGATGGATGTGATGTGATGTGATGGACTTTCCTTTTTGCTGTACTGGATGTTTCTACGCTATACCCCCAGAAGAATGCCAGGAATGGATTTCAATTTCGAATTCTTGTAGTCGAGTTGACTCGCTTTGAGAACTGTAGATGATCATTGTGGTGGCTCGTGGAGTAGATCATAGATTCATAGTAGGACGGGCTAGTTGCCAGTCGACGGGAGATCGCTGATTTCAATGCGGCATCTACATCCCATACTTGGAAGCCTAGTGTGCGGCTTGGAGTTCTGGGGTTTGCGAGGAGGACTGAGTCTTTGATGTCAGTGATGCTGACAGCCTGAAGAAACAGAAGGAGCAACCGTTTCGACGGTTGACCCACAGTCAACGAAGCACTCCACATCCAGAGTATATGTTGTACAACGAGGTTGAGACTTGCGACTCCATCTTCTCAACATGATTCCGACAGACGAAGCAGAGAGACTAGAAATAATCTCCCGACAAAAATCAATCCAATGCCCCAAGCATAGCTTTAGGAGCACCAAACCTCACCGCCGGCCCCTCCCCACCGAGCGTGGAGAACGGCATCTGGGCAGGTTCAAGCCCACTCCCGATCTCGGATTGCAGCGTGCGTCGGAAACTGCGTCTTATGCCTGCCATGTCATGGACGCAGGGGACGAGTCCAAAACCACGGGTTCGGAGGACGGGATCGCTGCGTGGATCTGTTAGCCAGCGGTAGGTGTGATTCCTGGTGGCTGTAGGTGTAGATTGTTTTTGGGAGGATGCGGTGGATCAATCGAGAGCGGGCGCGGTTGTAGATTGGGTATGAAGAGGGGATATTGGGGGGTTCTTCTTCTGGGAATACGTGGGTGGCACTCTGTCGCCGAATGTGTCCTAGTCTCTCGATGAATGGTCGGTCTGCGCTGCTTGGAGATCTTGGTTTTCGGAGGTGATCCCCGGTCTTTTTTTTTTCAAAATTCTGCTAGAATGAGTTCTCGTGTGCGAGCGAGATAGTCCACGCTTGGCTGAAGAGTTGGATCTTCGTTGAGGTGGACGACTGAGTCGCAGTAGGCTCCATCTAGGAGATTTGCTACTTTCTCTATTGTCTGCTCGAGTAGATGGACGCGAGATCTGAGGTTCTGGATGGTGGTTTCCTTTTTGAGACGATAGGTGCGTTGCGCCCGTCGGATCTACAGACGGCGTTCCTGAGGAACTGGTCAACTATGTTCGGATCTTCCTATCGCAGGGATCTACCTCAATGGCAGAAGCATCTTTGGCCTCTGCTCTCGGCCGACCTCTTTTCACGGAAGGATCCGAGTTTTCATTGGTCGGTTGGTCGATCCCCGATGCTTGGGGTCCACTTGGTCTTCGATTGATCTCACTGGAGTTTAGTGATATTTTTGCTTCTTGTTCTTGTGACATTTCCAGGTAGGATCTTGACGATAACATGTCCATCCCGATTCTTTGCATCTGCAATGTGGGGGGGGGGGGGGGCAAATTCAATTGTCGGGATTAGGGGGAACCGAGCTGACGTTAATATTGAAGTTGATGACAAAAAAAAAGTTGATCACTCATCTTTGGAAATAGCCTCGGTCTAGTCAAACACGCTAATGCGAACTGCTGCAACTTGTACAGCACGTACTTATGCACATGCAAAGTACAAAGTTTGAAACTTTGGAAGTTGTGAATTTCTGAATCCAAGTGGTGCCCATTCGCAGTTCGATGTCAGGAAACCCGGTTTTTTCTTCTACATGCACAGGTGGCTTCTCTTGTCCCACGCCTTGTCCAACTAGGACCTCGGTGATACATTCGGAACCTGGGACTGGAGGTTGACCTGACAAGATGTTGTAGGAAACGGAGAAGACCACATGAAGCATACAGAACACAGCGACTCCATATATTCAAGTCTAACATAACCCTGAGATCCAGAGTGTAGAAGGTACAGTGTGAAATCCGAAATGCCGATCAAACATGACATCCGCCAACGACTCTTGGCCCCCGTAGCTGTGTGACGGTCATGGGTGGTCCTTGTGGAGGCTTTCCCCACTTAGACTTGAGCCGAGGCACCTGCATTGGTATAAGACCACCTTAACTGCTTGCATTCCTTCGAAAATCCAAACCCTCTCCCAAGACAGGACCATGACTCTGTCGTTCGTCGTGGGTTTTGCGGCCGCAGCCATCGTGCTGCAGGTCCTTCGTGTGGTATTCAACTCATGGCAACACTCACGTAATGCTAAGAGCTTGGGTTGTGGCAGCGTGCCAATGTACCCGTGCAAGGATCCTTTGGGAATTGACAACCTGAAACAGGCTCTAGCGGCAGACAAGGCCAAATTGGTACCTGAGTTGGCCGAGAAGCGGGTCAAGGTCATTAGCGACCAGGAGAACCGCTATGTCACTACATTCTCCATTAGGAACCTCGGTCGCACCCACATTTTCACGATTGACCCGAAGAACATTCAGGCTATTCTGGCTACACAGTTCAAGGACTTTGAGCTTGGTTCTATCCGTCGTCTTAGTTTGCATCCACTACTAGGCACTGGTATTGTAAGTCGCCTGCCATACCTCCTTTTTATTCTCCGTCTCCTATTCCGGGTATTGACTGTAAATAGTTCACCGCCGATGGAGAGGAGTGGAGCCGATCTCGTGGCCTGCTTCGGCCTCAGTTCACTCGCGAGCAGATCAGTCAACTGGATTTGGAAGAAGAGCATGTACAGAAGGCCATGCAGGCTCTGCCCGTCGTGGCCAACGGATGGACCGCCATCACCGACATCCAATCCATCTTCTTCCGCTTGACCATCGACTCCGCCACAGAATTCCTCTTTGGCGAAAGCGTCGAGAGCCAACTCGGCGCTCTAACCGGCCTGAACAGACCCGAAGACTCCTTCGCCAACTACTTCGACCAGTCGCAATGGGTCTGCGCGCAGCGAAGTCGCTTTGAGGGCCTCGCCTTCCTCGCCGAGAACAAGGAAACCAAATTCTCCGACAAGCAAGTCCACTCCTTTGTCGACAAAGTCGTCTCCAACGCGCTCACAGCCTCCCAAGCCGAAAAAATTGCGTCTCCTAACAAAAAGTCCTCCTACGTCTTCCTTGAAGCCCTCCTCGAAGTGACCCGTGACCCAATCGAGCTCCGCTCTCAACTCCTCAACATCCTCCTCGCGGGCCGCGACACAACAGCCTCCCTCCTAAGCTGGACAACACTCATGCTCGCCCGCAACCCAGAAGTCTTCACCAAACTCCGCGAAACAATCATTTCCACCTTCGGCACCTACTCCAACCCCCAGAACATCACCTTCGCCACCCTGAAATCCTGCGAGTACCTGCAGCACGTAATGAACGAAGTGCTCCGTCTGTACCCAGTCGTCCCTTTCAACCGTCGCAGCGCAACCCGCGACACGACCATCCCGCGCGGCGGCGGTCCGGACGGCCAGGACCCGGTCTACATCCGCAGGGGCCAGTCGGTGATCTACACGACGCATGTTATGCAGCGTCGCAAGGACCTGTGGGGTCCTGACGCTGACCAGTTCAAGCCTGATCGATGGAGTCGTCGGAGGCCTGGTTGGGAATATATTCCCTTTAATGGTGGGCCACGAATCTGTATTGGGCAGCAGTTTGCGCTTACCGAGGCCGGTTACGTTATCGTGAGGCTTTTGCAGCGCTTCGACCAGATTGAGAATGCTTATCCTGATCAGAAACTTCGGTATGGTCTTACTCTGACTAGCGCGCCTGCTGATTTGGTTACTGTGCGTTTGCACCTGGCTGCGGATGCTTGAGGTGGCTAGCTTGGTTGTGTTGTTTTTTGATCTATTCCTAGACGACTTTGAGTTCTAGGCATGGTGAGCGATGCTTGTATTTTCTTTCTGCAGCTCTTGGCGTCTTGCTGGATTTTCCCAGCTAGCACGAAGATCTGCTTCAATGCGTTAATTTGGGTCTGTTTTTTTTTCCGAGCAGAAGTGCCTATGGCGATGAGAATGTTAAATTGAATTGAATTTGCTGGGCAATGAATCTGAGATGAGTGCACATATCCTAATCGGAGGCCAGATTGATTCGTCGGCACTTGCCACGAGCACAACAAATCGAGCAGATCAAAACAAGACACCTACTGAAATAGACCGTTCATGCAAACAGACAGTTGCTCCTAGGAAAAAAAAAACCAAGAAACCAATTCCATTCATCTCTACATCAAATCCGGGAAAAATTACGTGCACAAAAATACTTGTGAAACATTCGAATCGAATTTATAGTGTAATCGAAGTAAATCGAGAAGAAAGAAAAGTAAAGTTTGAGAACAGTGCAGATAACAGTCTACACTGAAAGAAACGCTCACAACAAGCCAACTATGAATAGGTCTCCCCTTTTGGCTTGATCAACAAAGGATCACCCTTTAGTTGACACACTGGTAGTAGAATGGGTTCTGCTTGACGCAGGTGGTACCGGCCTCGCAGACAGTAGGGCCGGTCCAGTTGATGCCACCACACTGGTAGTAGTGCTTAGCAACGGCTCCAGCATAGGGTTTGGGAGAGGGTTGGGGGGAGGGCTTGGGGGAGGGCTTGGGGGAGGGACTGTGAGAGGGGCGGGCAGAGGGGCGGGCAGAGGGGCTGGCGGTAGGTACCTGAGTGAAGGGCTTGGCAGTGTAGGGTTTAGCAGTGTAAGGCTTGGCATTAGAGGGCTTGGCAGTGTGGGGCTTGGCAGTGGCAGTGACAGTGACAAGGGTAGTCGGGGCGGCAGTAGTGGCGGAGGAGACAACGGGAGCAACAGCGACGGAAACCTCGGCAGAAGCGGAGACAGTCGCGCTGGAAGGCTCAATCACGGAGCTGAAGGCCTGGACGTTGCTGCTGGGGATGGAGGTGATCTCGACGCCGGCGGCAGTGGTAGAAGGCTTGGCGGCAGCCTTGGAGCCGGATGAAGAAGAGGAAGAGGGGGAAATGATAGAGGCAACGCTGTCGACGAAGTACTTCTCGAGGATGGGGAGGTAGGAAGCGTACGCAGGGCCGTTGCTGGGCTCCAAGTTGTACATGTAAGATCCCCACATAGGACCGGCGGACCACCACTCGGCACCCATCCAGACGTCGCTGTTCTCGGACATGTAGGCGAGCATGCCCTCAACGGCAGCCTGGCAGTCGGCGTTGACACCACCGGCGAACTCGCCGATGAAACCCCTCTTGTTGTTCTCCTGCAACCAGGCGGTGGCGGACTGGAGACGCTCCTTGCCAATGGTGGGGCTGGCGCAGGACTCGGAAGTGCCAGAGCTGTCGCCATCAAGGTACTGGTGCATCTCGTAGACGATCTTGTCCTCAGAGTCGGTAAGGGCCTTGAGGTTGTCGTTGTGGTCGGTCCAGGACCAGGCGCCGGTCCATGCGTTACCCTCGACGAAGATGTACTGGCTGGTGGCACCAGCGGCACGGATGGCGTCAATGGCGGCCTGGTTCAGGTCCAGGACGAGAGTCTGGTCAAGATCGTGGTACTCGTTGTCTAAGGGGATGAAGTTAGTAGATTGTTTAATAGTGTGATTCGTACGATGAGGTTTCAACTTACTGGTGTCGAAAATAACCTTCTCGTTGGAGGCGAACTCGGTAGCAACGGTAGTCCAGAAGGCCTTGAAATCGGAGGTCGAGCTGATGATGTTGCCATGGCTGTGTATCGAGCATAAGTATCAATCCAATCAGGGTGGGGAATTCTCAATTTGGTACACGTACTATCTTCCGTAGTTGTGGGGGTCAAGGACGGCGTAGGCACCGCTGTCGGTAATGAACTTGATGGTCTATAGAAGGGAATTGTTAGACCTCGGGGGAGAATCAGTAGCCACAACCGATTTATCACGTACAGACTTGAGGTCAGCCAGGTAAGTGGCATCCGGGGCGCCAGTAATGCTGGTAGGCACCAGGCGCTCCATCAAGAAGGGTACACGGAAAATGTTCATGCCGGCATCTCTCAGGATCTGAATCTGGGAAGTCTTGGGCCAGGCGTAGTCTTGGCCCAAAGTACCGGGGATGTTGCTGCCGAATTCGGCACCGGACTCGCTGACACCGACCCAAGTGAATCCATTGGCAGCACGCTTCTTGATCTCAGCACTCTGCTTGGAGGGAACAACGTTTCTGTCTCGGGGGTACGCGCAAGCCACGCTGGCGGCGCTGGCGGCCAGAACAATGTTTGTGAACTTCATTGTAAAATGATGTTTAAAAAAAAGAGTGAGTGTCGAGTTTGACGGAAAGAATGTGATGGAACCGAAGTACGGAGCAAAATGAATGGAAATCAAGAGACCAGTCTTGAAGTTTGAATGAAAAGAAAGTATGCACAAAGCAAGAGTGAAACCTGCGGGGGCCGTCAGTTATATAGCCATGACCCTGCTCGGAGGCGTCAAATAGCGCTTGGTCTACGGGTTAGAGACTAGGAGGCAACCAAAAGAAAGAGTGGATTCCCTGTTTGGGATATCTCATAGAGAGCCACTTGGAAACTCACTCGGCTCAATTATGACCGGGATACCGGGAAACGCTAACCCTGACTGCAGGAGCCCCTTCTACGGGATAGACAGCGGATCTCTCCACTAACAGAAGGGGCCGGAAAAACGGTATAATTACCCAAAGGCCACTAGTTCAGGCACGAGCGACCTAGAACGGGGCCCATGATTGTGTATAGCCCCATGTTTTCCATAGTCTACCCAATATGTCGGAAATGAGCCAACGCTTAGCTCCGTGGCTGAATTGCATGTGGAGATAAATTCATTAAAGGGAGTCCAAGTCGGTTCAGCTTCCATTTTGTTAGTTTGGACGGGTCTCGTTCTCGAAAAGGGTGTAATCTAAAAGAAATTGTTCTGATACACTTACGGAATCGGCTAACCCGTCTTGGGTGTAGTGGCCGAAATCGAAGAGCCGGGTTAATGAGAAATGCTCTAGATGAAACAACATGTGGCTTTTAGCTTCATAACCGTTGGTTCTCCCCTCTCCCCCTCGTCATAATTTCCCAATCTGAACCCGGAAGGTCCTTTGTAAACCTGAAAAACAGGGAACCTCCTATCGAAGTCAATGCCGCGACTATCCACAATTCTGATTAGTCCCGGACTTAATTTGTGAATGATAGGAGTTCAGGAGATAATCTGGTACTTTTGAAAATTGCATGTGGTATGCTCAGACACACCAAGGTGTGCAATGATCTCTCCTTTCGTAGAATCAAAGCAGTCAAGAGATGTTGATGGAAATTTCCAATGCCAAGAGAATAGCATGTTTTCAGGATAACCCCGCCTTCGGCCTTGGGAATGTGTTGTACCGGATTATCCAACGGAATAATTACAACACACATTCTGCCACTAAAATTGATTTGGTTTGGACTTGCTTGCAATTAAATTGGACTAGAGGTTCCAATTTGATTATCATATTGGCTAATTCTAGTGTGATCTGCAATTGTAACCATTCCCAAAATCAGAGGGTCGGGATCCAGTCCTCCCCTCCCGACCATGTCTAAGATGGACATCTTAGATCATGAGACGCTCGACCTGGTTCTTGATGGCGCGGATCTGAGCAGTCAGATCACTGGCCTCATTGGTAGTGATAGAGGCAGCAATCACGGGGCGGGAAACACCAGTAGCACGGCCGAGAGCCATCTTGCTGGGAACGTAAACGTAGGGAACCTAATTTACTTGATGAGTCTAGCTTCTCAGATTAAGGGTCCAGGGGATTAAACTCACGTTCTTGTCCTCGGCCAAAAGCGGCAAGTGAAGGACAATAGCGAGGGGGCTAGTATCGGCGGCCATGATGACAAGTTCACTAGTACCCCGGTTAAGGGACTTGGTGCACTCGTTGGCGCCCTTAGAGGACGGTTAGCTTAGCCTTAGAAAACGGTGGAGGTGTTTGAAACCTTCTTCAGTTGGCGATAGTGAGCGGCCTGCTGCACAAGATCGAGGAGGCTCTGGGCAAGAGCCTCATCAGCGATGGGCCAAGCGGCGCTAGTATCTTCAGCCATTGTTTATGTTGTAGTTGGAAAATAAAAGACACCAAATCTTAAGAAATGGCTCACTCGGTGGATCACGGCCGTGTAATTGCGACGGAAAATGAGAGGTATGTAGATTAAGATTGTGTTGAAGGCGATCGTAAGAAATTTTCTGAACAGACCGTTTGCGCACACCGCCTACTGAATTTGCACATTTTCTGCCAGACGCTGCTTACCGCTTTCAATCTATTGGTCACCCTTCGGCATCCAGGTTCGCCACCTTTACCTTGAAAAGAGGAAGTCTTGATGACAAGTTTTTAAAGCCCTAGAGGCTCAAGAGTCAGTCTATTGTGGATTTATCAAAACTTGTGCGATTTCATGAAGCAATACCAGAAGAATACACGAAGGGTCTGACCCCGCCAACGCATCAGATCCGAGGTCTGTATTTTGTTCGGAATACTCCATACATGTCAAAACGTACTATGTAACTAAGTGGACTCGCCAACAGCATGTTTCATACTCTGATTCATCTACAGTTAGAAATGAGTGGGTTATACCACTATATCTACTCCGTACATGACTCCGTATCTCGATCGATTCAGCCCGGTACGTCGAGCAAAAAGACGATCCAAGATCATGCATCGACAAGTCCATTTCATTAATAAAGCCTCTATCCCCCTTTTTTCCCGCTTTTTAACAATGAAACCGGCAAGTGGGACAAAACACAATGACGCAGAAAAAGGATTGACAAGTTCCTTGAGACCCACATATTATATCGCCGTTTCTATGCCCTGCCGCCTACCAAAAGCTCGCCCAAGTTGTGCTACAAGGCGCCCAAAATGTCGGAAGCACCTATCAAAGATCTGCTATTGAATTTTGAGATCATCTTCGATTCAGCCGGGTAATTTCAGCATGGCAACTAGGCTGTAATAGCCTCGTAGTGAATCTTAGGTGTTGACACTTTTGCTGCATCACTGTATCTACAGAAAGACTTCTACAAAGACTTCCAAAAAGACTACCAAAACCATATCGTGTTGCCCATACAGAATATCCCCTGAATATTACAAAGGGGGAAATGACTTGTGCAAATTAAAGATATCTGGAAAGGCTAACCCAAAAAGACGTCGAAAGCCCGCAAACGTGGCCAACTTTTCTTGTCAAAAATTGACCATAGAGAAGTCTCTTGCGCAAATGATATAATTTTTAATATCTTCACAATTTGTAAAGGCCTACTTAAAAGACATCACGAGGCTGTACAAGCGGCCGACGAGTCTTGTTTTGAGCAAGTCAGTATCTATCTGGTAGAGGAGCGAGTATTTCGAAAAGCAAATGCCATCATGCAACAATCTGGACAGGTTCCTGGGGAGGATATAGTAAATTGGCACCTAATGCTTCTTGGTCATCTTTCTTCCCTCTTTGCAGATCTAATGAGGCACAGAGTCTGAGGCTACCGAGGGGATCTCGCTGATCTGGATAAACTACGTTCGCGTGACACAGGTTTCGAACCTCGACACGTGCCCATGTGACTTCCAAAAAGCGTAACATTCACAAAAACTATTCAAAAAAAGGCCCACTCTGTGAGTCTAACAAAGACTCTCTAAGGGAAAAAAAAATAGGTAGCTTCTCTTTGATTGAGCGTGTCATCCTTAGTGCAGGGGCCATGCTAATCTTCTCTGTATATTTTCATTTGACCATATGCCCCGAAGGGCAACAGGAAAACCCTTAAAGTCCATTGTAACCACCGCTCCGGGCAGAAAACGACCGCCTACTTGTTTTGTCTACGGGTTCCTCAAGTTGTGTTCGGTTGGCTTGAAGCTTGATTGTCACGTGGAGTGGCCGGTTTTGGACTGTAATCCCGGAGACAAATCAGGCCGCCACTCCTGATGGATTACATAACGTAATTCCCAAGCGAGCTGGCCACCCCAACCATAACACGTCCATGAATTAGTTAGTTCAACCACCCACCATGCCACCTATTCGTACTCAATCCTCTCGAAACTCAATAGAGCAGGAGGGTAGGATCCTACTAGCTATCCAGGCTTTTAAGAATCAAGAAATCTCTTCAATTCGT